GCATTATAGTTGAGAAATAGTCTCCTTTCCGATGCCACTCCACAGAAGATACGGTCTGAAATAACAAGAGAAAGAGAAAATGAGGTGAAGTACCAAAAACAACCAGCTGAATGACTTCTTCCGCGTTATCATGAAACCAGAAGTTAACTGAGGTTCCATTCTAGATTAAATAATTCCAGAAATTAGGAATCTGTGAATCTGAAACATTGATTCAAAATGTAACTTCAATATTATCCACTTCAGAGCAGCCACTGAGAAATTAGGAATTGAATCTTGTCCAGTACACAGGAGAAAGCAATATGGACACTGAAATAAGCAGAAGATTTAAGATAAACAAAAGGTGATTTACCTTTGCATGTCTCAACCTGATTCCTCCATGTTCATCATCTTGGCTCCAGCTACATATGGAATTATCTATGCAAGCAAATATAAAGATCAAATTGGGATCACCCAGTTTAGTATGGCAGGGTAAAATAACTGAGTCAATACTAACTCGAATCATCCGAGACTTTAGCTGCCTCAACATGCAGAAGTTCGCCTACTTTTCTTTGTGTCTCTTCATTTCCTAGACCAGTGTTCAAGAGATATGCATCCTGCCCCCTATAGAACCATTATGTAGTTGATTAAAATGCACGAACAATACGAAATTCCAATAAACACAGATAATCAATCAGCCTTACACAGAGATTGCCAATATGGGAAACTCAGGCATCGGATTCCATGCTACATATTGCACAGCTTCATCAAACTGCCAGACTTTGCGGCATCTACCAGACTCAACCTCCCAAATCCGTACAGTCCCATCCGTAGAACCTTTAAAAGGAAATAATAACATGAATCAGATATATGGGACCGAAATATATGTGATTACAGTAACCATCTGTAGTAGACATCCATACCTGATGCAATCCATTCTCCTGAAAATTCCGTTGAAATCGACACAACAGGACCCTTATGACCTATATACTCCATGTAGCACGTGGATGGGTAAGGCTTCAGATCCTTTCTACTAGGAAGCTTAGGTTTCAAGGACTCGGGATCTATATTAATCTGAAATAAGGAGGATAATGTATAAAGAGAATAGACTACACGTCATACTCAGTAGAGAAACATCAATGTCAAGTTCACTTACACGTTTCTTTCGGACTCTAGGGCAGAGATATAAGTCCAAACAGCGCTCAAAAGAGTCTTTCACAGCATCTTCATACGCTGGAATGCTTCTCATAGACGTGAATCTGGGAAAGATCAAAATTTCATAAATATCGTTTAGGGTCAGCAATAGCTTTGGTCCAAAAGAAAATAAGCCAGTCAAAGCACAAGCTTCATTTACCTTTTAGGTATAAATTTAGGTCTGTCTTCTTCATACATGAGCTGATAAGAATTAATTTCCTCCTGCGTTGGAATGTACTCTAAAGAAGGATTGTAGGATTCCTCATGGCCTAAAAATAAACAGTTAACCTCACTGGATATACACATATTCAAGGAAACAAAACCTTCAGGATGGGCGAATTCATACCTGGTAACTTTGGCTTTGGGGCAGGAATGTAAGACAAATGGTTAGTCTTATCTGCAGCACCTGAATCATCACCCCACAACATGTAGAAACGCGGTTCTTCTTTTGGCTTCTCAAACTTTATCAACCCTTTACGAATAGCCCTGACATATTTGACAACCTAGAGAGCACAAGCAGGAGTGTATAATAATGCCATGCTAGAACAGCAAATCATTCAAGTAAAGTTGGTATTGCAAGTTCCAATTGAATCATTGATCTTCAAGTCCAGTCTGGAGTTCTGATAAAGAGCTTGAACCGTAAAAAATACCTTCTTAGCTTCCCATTTTGAGGGAATGAACCTTCTCTTTGGCTCTGGTGCATTTGACAACGGATGTATAGCATCATCCCATTTGAACCAGTCAACATACGGCTGGAAAAACAAAACATAACTTATTCAGACTGGAATATTGTGTATCCATTACCAGCAAACAACAGATAGATAGATGGCACCAATGAGCAAAGATATAAGACTGATGCTTACTGCATATGGATCAAAATCGGCATGTGGTGCCTTCCCATTGAGCAATCTACTGATCATTTTTGCTTCTGCCTTGGTCAGTTCCACATCCTCGTCATTGTAGTCATCATAAATCTTACGCCTGGATGTCACAATTTAACATAGTGTAAAATGACTGTACAGATAAATCAGTAACTCCATTCAAATTATCAGGCCCTCTGTCGAGTTTCCCTTCTATCTCTAGTAACTTGGCACAGCTTGCATCTAAATCAGACAACAAACAGAAACTAACAAATGCAGTCTAATCCCATAATTAGTATGAAGTATACACATTCAGAAATTCCAACTTCCATTGCCTAATGAAGTAAAGATCCAATGAAATGGAACACCAGCAATCATTTTGCACTCTTGAAAGAAAGAACCCTAGGCTGGCAAAAGAAGAGTGGCATGCATCAACCAAAATCAGAGCTGCCAAGTGAATATATCTTTTTTTAAGGAAAGGAGGGAGCGCACCTCCTGTAATGCCAAGTAAATATATCTTAAACCAGTCGGTCTATGCTTAAACTTCAAGGATGACATGAAAACGATGAATCTATTACTAGGAATGTGTCTCAACGAGATCAACGCATAACATAGGGAAACTTACCAATTTTTTGAGTCATCAACACTAGCAAGGAATGAGTCCAGTTTGTCTTGTCTTTCCTTTTTAGTTATCTTCTTCCCTTTAATGTCATATCCAATATGTTGCTCATCCTTGTACCACTCCAAGGGAACATCTCCAATGGTATTTCGGGGAGCTACCTACTCGGAACAAATAACAAAGAAAAGGAACATTAAAGAGCCACTTCGCAGACAAACACAGGAGAGGTGTATGCATTAGGGAGATTAAGAGCAGGAACGAGTTAGGAGTAATCGTAATGCACCTCATCCTCCGAAGAATCACTCTCTTCAGCGACTTGACTGCGTTCAGAGTCAGAGTCTCCACTTCCTTCTCCACTTTCCAGTCCATCATCAGCGCTTGCAGAGGCCTTCTACAATTGAATAAACTGTCCATTACCCCCAAGACTAACTCCACGGGTAAAAACCGAAGTTCAGCTAAAGGTAAGCGAAAAAGGCATAGCACCCACCTCGTCATCATCAGAAGAAGAACCATTCGCGTCAGCCCCTTCTTCCGAGCCTTCGTTTTCATCTTCATCATCAACCAATCCACTACCATCGCTGGTACTGGCATCCTGCAAATGATCAACTCTTAAAATCATTTCAAACCCGAGAACAGATACTAAGCTCAAGCAGAGAAAAAGGAACAACATTGTGGAGCATACCTCATCGCCCGAAGAACCACCATCCTCTTCAGTAGCTACTTCACTTACCTCTGACCCTGCGCTTGCTTCTCCTTCACTGTCAAATTCAACACTACTGCCGCCATCCTCGTCCTGCGGGGAAACAAAAACAGAATCCATCGTGATCAGACTTGCGAGCATCTTAATCTGGACCTGTGGGGGATGAAGAGACCAGAAGGGGGATGAAAGCACGGGCGACATACGACAATGTTCTTGAGACGGTCGGCCTCTTTGGGTGGAACAGAAACCCCCATTAGCTACTCTATCAGAAAGGAGATGGAAGAGAAAATACAGAACAGACAGCCGGAATCGATGGACGACGGAGCGGGGCGGGAAAATGAGTAGAAGCAGTGGAGGTGGCGTTTATCTCTGCAAAAGCAAAACCCTTTCGGTTCTAAAACCCAGCAACCCTAATTTTATTAGGGCCGGCAAAAAAAGACTGGGCCGGCCAGCATATAATGCATATTACCCGACCAGGCGATTTTGAGCAAAACTGAGATAATCGGCTATCGTATCGTCACGCGAAGATCATCCGAATCTACCATTACTCAGTAACTTTTTAATATTTTTTTTCTGACCACAAAATTTGTGTTGAATGGAAATAAATGTACATTTAATTTTTTTTTTCCGATAACGATTCTAAATACGATTTGCACCTTTTCAAACGAAGGTGTTTGATTGATGCTTTTTGGGAACGAAATCTAAGATACGTTATTCTACTCCTATGGAGGTTGAGCGAGAGCTCCAAACTACGAACTACGTCTATGCCTAGATTATAGAGAAAAGTTAAATGATAAACGTGACATGTGTGTTAGAGTGTTGATTTTGAAAACTCATGTCTCTTTCGACCCCTTCTCTTGTTTTAAAGGCATGGATTGGTAACCAGCTTGGAGAACTACTTGCCTGCTAACATCCAAAAAGAACTGATCCTTTCTTCTTCAGACTTATCTTCAAACGTGAGATGAGTGGTACTGGCTCCCTCAACTGTCTTCGGACGTGTCTTCAACACTATCAGATCTCGCGACCAACATTGTCATATCTCACGATCAATGTGATTAAATCTCGCGACTAAGGTACTTAGATCACGCGAACAACATGGTCTAGATCTCTCAACTAAGATTTTCTAGATCTAGATCTCGTGACGACGTAGTCTATATCTCGGGACTAAGGTTGTCTAGATCTAGATCTCGGGACTAAGGTTGTCTGGATCTAGATCTAGCGACCAACATGGTCCAGATCTAGATTTGGCGACCAACATTGATGTAAGTCGAGACTCTAACTCTTGTACTTAAATAATCAGAATACGCAGCAAAGAACGATTAGTAACACAACGAACACAAAAAGCGGACATAACTCAAACAAAAGCCACGAATTGGCAGAGGGCCAACTATACAAAGTCACTTCAGAACTAGGGTGATTGACTAGTTGATAACGTGAATTTCTCTTTAGTAGCTCGATTTCACAAATGGACAAGGAAGAGAACAAGGGTTCGATGTTGAACACTCAAAAGTAGGTTTCAAATTGATCAAAAGTTGTCGAGCCCGTAGACAAATCCTCCTCTATTTATAGAGGTCGCAAAACCCTTAAATTAACGCTAAAATTTGACCCCTGCAAGCTATAGAATTTGAATGCTAAAAGGAAAAGGAAACAAGAGCAACAGATCCTCCCCTTAGCTTGCGTTCACACCATAGGAAGCTTCTTATCCACTATGTAAGCTCCTTCCTTCATTCCTTCTTCTTGCCGAGTTTGATTTGGGTTCTTCCTCTTCTTCTTGGACGTGGATGATGTTGATCTCTCAAGCAATGACGGAAAAATCTCGACCAAATAAGCTTGTAGTTGGGCTTTGAATGTCTTGGTTTGACTTCGAGTAATTGGACCTTCTTTTTGGGAAGTCTCATCTCGCACCAATGTTGGAGTTGTGGTAGCTTTGGGGTTGATGCCCTCATCATTCCCCTTCATTATAAAAAGATTTATCCTCAAAGTTGAATTGTCTTCAAGGAAAGGAACTAAGTCAGAAACATTGAAGGTAGCACTAACACCATACTCTCCTAGTATATCAAACTTGTAGGCATTGTCATTGATACATGCGAGGACTTGAAATTGACCATCTTTCGAACAGATTTTGCCTTATTGGCACCATCTAAGTTAACACGCTCATTGGAAGGTAATGGAGTTAAATCCCATGGATATAAAGGATTAAAATCATAAACAATTTCGAATGGTGAAAACTTAGTAGTAGAATGGAAGGGTGCTTTAGACGATACATATGAATTAGGTACGAAAAAGGTGCACAAGTGTAGACAAATGGACAAAAACGAAGATCATAGCCGAAGGTGCCTGTAACATCCTGAACCTTTCTAACCAAAAATATAAAACTGTTGCTCCAGAGCATAGTTAAATTTCTTACAACCAAACTGGGAAAACCAAAACTGTTGATGCTTCCTACGACACCTTCACTATTGATGTTGTTGCTCGTCTTTCCCTATCTCCGCTCGAGCTACTCATCTGCTAACCCTTCCTCTACCTGGTGATCTTCCTCGCGGGCAAGTTGAACGTTGGCCGTGACGCGACTGGGGAAACTATCTGCTTCTCCAAGGCTTCTTCTTCGCGAAGTTCGCGCCTTGGGCCTTGAAGATTGTGGTCGCGATCGTTGGCTTCCGGGTCGTGATCTTGAACGAGTCTTCACGACTAGAGATCATGACCGTGATCTTTGAATTCTAGGCCACGATCTTTGATCATTGCCCCTTTCTACACTTGTGATCTTGTTTTGTACATAATTTGCACATATTCACTAATATCCCCTATAATCACATCAAAATCAAATAGTAACGAAATAGGGATGTATTTAACAATATTTAAACGCTTAAGCACCTGAATTGGCACAAAACATACCCTAAGATATGAAGGGTAATTAACACCGATTTTGGTGTTATCATGACTCATTTTCCTCAATTCGTGCAGAGGGTCAGTGAAATTAAGGAGGGGTCGGAAGCTCTTTTCGTGCCCTTAAAAACACATCCTCGAGTAGGCGGACCATTCAACATGTGTAATTTTTACATGTACTAGAGACGGTTTAATTTCACCTTGTAAGCCCAACCCACTAAGGATCACTAATATCTCTTCCAAAACCCGAATTTAGTAGCTCCATGCTTCAAATGTGGAGGACTAACTGCTTTTAGTTAAGCACAATTTGAGCACCCATTTATGATACATGAGTCCAAAACATAAGGAGAGTCATCGATAACACATGAATCAAAGTCCTAAAGCCATTAGTTCACACAATCAACTGGCACAGCAAGGAGAAAGATATGAAATATCTTATACTTCAACATCCTCCATAGTGCTACAACTACCTCCCTAGGTTGCATATTACTATAAAGACTGTCAATTCAAAGCATACTGAGCAGGCAATTGCAAGGAATACGTACTTGGAGCCCTCAAATCGAAAGATTAGGACAGTGGACTAGGCTCAAACCAACAAACACATCTATGCAGTCAAAGATAAACACCCACACACTTAAGATAAACATTGCCCTCAATGGAGAAGAGGGAAAGATAAGGGGAACGATGTTACCAGGAAAAATGATTTCAAGGGGATTGGAGAGTGGACCAGTCATTGAGGCGAACTGGAAGCGGGCCAGTCGCGGCAAGAACACATGCTAAGACAAAATAGCCACGCGACACAGAATCATTTGGAAGAGTTGTCAGCCCAATGACACAATATCCAAAAGAAAAACATACAGCACATCCTGATTCTGGATGTCACGACATGACCATCGAAGTCACGTGTTAGACCGTGACATTCAAGAGTAAAAGCGTGAGATGGGGAGTGACCAAATAAGTGAAATCGTGCATTTTGCGTGTCACGACCTAGAGGAGTTAAGTCACGGCCATGACTCAGGCCATGACATCGCCACTAACAGGTGTAAATATATTTTGGCTGGCTTTTTTATGGGGATTCAAGTTCTTACATCTGAAAGTGGGAGAGCCCTAGAGAGAGAAAGTGACGAGAGAACACCCCTTGAAGCTAGGGATGGCAATGGGTCGGGTTGGGGCGGGTTTTGTCAAACCCAAACCCAAACCCATGGGTTTATCCACCAAAAAAACCCGGGGTAAAACCCGTTGGGTTTGAAAAACTCAAACCCAACCCAACCCGCTGGGTATCCGCGGGTTCATGGGTACCCGTGGGTTTTTGTGGTAAAAATTTACAATAACAAGTTTCTTTCAAAATAAAAGTTTAACATCAATTTTCTCATACAAATTAATCATACAAAAAACACCAATCTAGAGCATACAAACAAACAGCAAATGATCAATACAAATTGTTCAAAATTAAAGATAAACATATATAAACAATAAGATTAAATGAAAGCTTCTTCCTCATCAACTAAGTTTCTTCACTCTCCACTTCATAATATCAACTTCATTCTAAACAATTAGAAAGAACAAATTATATATGTCTCCACAAACATATAGAATATTAGTTGTTTAAGGAAGATATATTATTTAAAATATTAAATATACCGGGAAAGTAATTATATGTGTGTGGGCGGGTACCCATGGGGCGGGTTTACCTAAACCCAAACTCAACCCGACCCGGTGAATAGTGTAGCGGGTTTAAACCCGAACCCGGCCCAAAACCCGTCAACATGGGTTTTACCCGCGTTGACCGGGTTGGGTCGGGTGGGTACCCGTGGGTTCGGGTTTTGTTGCCATCCCTACTTGAAGCTGATTTGAGATATTCCATCACCATTGGAGCTCGAGATTTGATCCTTGGAGTGAAGATAATCGTCAAGAAGGAGATTTTCATCCTAAGCATTATGTTTTTCTACGTCTGTATTGTATTATTCTCTTTCTATATGGAGTAGACTCCCTTCTCACTTGGGTATGAGGAATCCTCGTCTTATATGGTCAGATTGATTATTGTTTTAGAACCTAGATTGTTGAACTCTAAGTATATATCAGTCGATGCATTGTTCATGAATTGTCCAAATCAGGATCACATTCTTATGCTTTCTCTTTAACCTAGGAGCGAGAATATCTTAATATGTTAATAGAGCATCGTCAATTGGAAGTACGAAATCTATTGCTTTCTTAGGCGTGTTTGTCGTTTTTCGAATCTATTTACTAGATAAAACACTAAAAATGAGCAGTAGTACATCTAAAGACGTTGGGTTGACAATTAAAACTTACTATTATTAGTATTATATCGCGTCCTTATCATTAGTTCCACTTGGTCTTTGATTGGGGTTGTAGTTTTGGTGAGTCAGAAGTAGTCATCTTTTATGAACTACTCCGAAGAGGGTTGTATACATGTTGTCTTTATTCAGTCGAGTAAGGGCCTCTTTAAGGTCGTCAAACCCTCCCTTCCTTAGCACTCAATCGGTTCCAACACTTAAACTTTGAATATGTATCACCCACGTTATTTTAAACTTTTGGTTATGTGAAAGCAAAAAACCAAGCATAGAATCAAACTTCGCATGCAAACAAACCTACCCCGACAGTCACTAGTGAAGCATTTGTATCAGGATACATCAAGAAATTAAGCACGATTTGTTTACATATAGAATAGTCAAAGTATTAAGCGGTATATAAAAATATTACATTACATTCCTATAACTATTACATTGTTCACAATCAAAGTCCTTAGCTTCGTATCTTTGTACAACAACTTATGTACCATAAATTCGCGAACTATATATGGGAAATTTATGTTTTGGCAAATTTGTGTGGAAAGGTGGACCTGGAAGGCACGAATTGGGTATCTAAGTTTGAATGAGCACCCTGCTACTGCATGCAGCAACAGCAATGGCCTGCTGCATTTTTTACCCAAAAAGACAAGTCCCTAGTTCGAAAAATGGAACTAGGGACAGCTAGGCTCAACCTATCAGAACCCCTCGGTGATGATAAATTGGAATATGCCATTATTGTCCATGGTGATGATCATCAGTCACTTCCACGGTTCCACCTTGTGGCGCTTGAGAATCCAGACCAAGAACATCATTCTATATATATATAAACAACTTGGAGGACATTCATATTCTTCAGTTTATACCGTTTGTTCCTTCAAAAGCTTCAACTTCACTCTGCCAGGATCCTCTTTGTCAGTAAACGGTATATGATTTACAATTGAATCTCTCCCAACAACTCGAGTTAGTGGGAGCAACTGGTTCTTGGCACTCATGATGTGGGTTGTAGTGTATCATTTCTGGCTTTTACCCCCTTTTCTTTCTAACTGAGCAATGATTTGAAAGGAATCGTTTTAATCACAAGCAGCAGAGAAAAGATCTGTCTGTGTGTCGATGGAGTCTTGTGTTCAGGGAAAAAGCAGTCAAATGAGAGCCATCATTGTCCAAAGAAAGTTTGAGGTATCAACATGATGATTGGCTCGGAGAGGAACCCATCAGAATCATTTGAGGGTTCCAACATCCAGCACCTTATCATCATCTGCTTTATCTTATATGTCTCCCCCTCCTCCTTTTCCAAACTCAATTATAGAAACTCATTTTCATTTCCATTGAGTAAATATCTGGCTTTGCTTTCTGAGTTTCCCCTATAAATTTCCTTCCCCCTAAATCCTCAATGCACATCATCAGTACCAGTGTGTGAGCTTCTTCTGAAGGTGTCCCCCAGAACTTTCAGCTACTACATATGTCTGTGTTATCTCATACCTATATTTGGGTCAGGATTGGGTAATCTGCATCCTGAGGTTTAGATTGCCATATCACATTTTTCGCTCTAATCCTCGGGTTGCAGATTACCTCCTCCTCACTCATTCACAATCAAACACCTCTTCATTCTTCAGGTAAATATCCCATTTCAGGTATTGCATATTTTGTGCATGAATGAAACTCTGGTGTCTGGAACTGGTGCAAATCACAGGTTACATCCTTGTCTGTACCCTCTTGGTTTCTTCTCATACCAGGGCGAGTTGAAACTATGATTCTTACAGAGATCCTAATACGGCTGACTTGTCTTTACTTGATCCATTCTAACTGATCATTTGAACTTCTGTAAATGTAACCAAAGCAAGTATTCTACGTGTTTGATATATTCCATTCTGAATTGTTCACGAGAAGAAACATAATATTCTGGAAAGGAATGACGAGCCAGAATTTATTTGCATACAAAATGAGATAAGTATGCAAATCTATTTTCAGGTTATGATCTTTTTGGTGGAGTCTTGGAGTTGCAGAACTCCAACAGCTTCTTCCTTGGTGAGGCTGAAGTCGTTGCCATCCTTGAAGATGAGAAACTCCATCATCTCCACCCCAAAGAAGATGAAAGTTCCACGGAGGTGAGTGATGCAGGAACCAAACTCTTTGCCAACCACGCAGTGCCATGCTGCTCCATAGTCTTCATCAAATTTCTGTTGCACGATCCCCAAAGCTTTAACACGGGTGAAATATATATAAAAAAAAATTACATTTCAAAATGAAGATAGGATGATCTTTTGAACTGATGCAACAATAGCAGCAGTCTGTGAGGCCTTGGAGTAGCTCTGATGCATGGCTTTGCTTAAAGGCTAAAGTCTTAAAGGTTTTGATGCATGATTCTTGACCCACTAGCAAGTAAAAAGCATATTCAAATAAAAAAATTTGATCAGTTCAAAGCATTATTCATTCAGGAGTTTATTCCCCGAGCTATTATTCTAAACACTATAAAGTAAAAGTTCCAGCACAGTAGCAAGAAATGCAACCCAGGGAACCCTAACCATTAATCATATGGAATCAATAAAAGTTTATGGGAGAAAAGTAGCTTTACCTTGTGCAAGATCAATATCAATGAAATGGCTCAACTGAGAAACAAACAAGATCCATTTTTTCCATGGAAAATGAGATGGGTCTCTCTCTCATCATTCTCTCTATTCAGCTTACAAGTGTGCCAAAAAGGGGAATCCCAGGTGTATAACTATAGGCTCAAAGCAACTCCCTATTCTGTAAGCAAAATTGAAAGAGTGTGATGGGGGCAACATTAGTTTTGATACAGGATTTCACAATACAAAAGGGTAAGGCTATATGCTCTTTCTAACTTAAATGTGAACCCTAAAGCATCACTTTACTTTCCCTCCATCCATCCAAGAGATATAAGATTCTAGTTGCGACATAAGGCAGATCCCTTTTGCAATCTATTAATCAGAAAATACGTTCCCCACCAAAAGAAAGGTACCTTTCCATAGAATTTGACTGTAGACGCATACCCCAGAATCTAATACTTTCATTTGAAATGAACAAAGACCAAAAGGAGTTTCTAACATGAGAGTGATAAGAAATTCACCTGTTTGATATAATGAGCAATGGATTGGCAATCAGAAACCTCATGAAGATCAAGAGCCTGGTATGCCAGTTCCAGCACACGCCCTTGCATCTCCTCTGGCATGTCTGTCTCCCTCACCACACCCCTCCCTTCCAACATTCTTATCACCTCTGCTAGTTTCTAGGCTGGCTACCAAGACTCCTCCTGCCTGCACTTTTTGTTTGCAAATGCAGAAGCTGGCTGCTCAAATCAACACAGCTGTAGTAAACAAAAGGAAATATCTGGTGTTTGAAGGAACCCTTGAAATTGTCTGGATTCCATTCCATGACCCAGAAAAGATTTCAGACCACATATTATTGCAGTTTTGTCACATTGAGAAGATGTGTTGAATCCTTTTGTTCTCACTGCCGCTACCTGGCAGTAAAATGGGTCCCATCACCATGTCCATGACCAATTGACAAGACCTCCAGATAATATTTCTCCCCTCTTGGAGGTTCTGCGCTTCTGTTTGTTTCCTGGCAAATTTCGTATGGCCAGGATATCCCCCCATTATGTAGACACGCAATCTTCTCAAACTGGTGCCACTCATTGAATAAGCCATACAAAAGAATCTTCCTGATTCTGCTAGCCCTTTTTTGACCGAACAGCAACGAAAACACAACGGACTTTCCTTGCACAATCTGGTTAAACTAGCAAGCTCTTCAAATCAAAATTCAGAAGGAAGGCAGGACGTAAGAAATTCCAGCCAGCCAGCCAGCCAGCAAAATGGAAAAGGGGACATAAAGAATAAAGATTAAAGGAAGCTCGTTTTACCAAGATCGTAGCTTTTTTTCTCTCAATCCCCCTCCAATACTTCTCCAAAAAGAATCCTCCTTCTACCCAATCCGAACACCAAGAAAACGAACCCAGTTTTCTCTTCGCTCCCTGAAGTAGAAGTAGAAGTAGCAGTAGCAGTAGCAGTAGTGATAACTTATGAAATGGCCGCTGGCTTCATTTGTCAGCAGCTCCTGATCGAGAACACGCCGAGTTCTTGACCCTCCCACTCGTCCGGGTTAATCAAATCAAAGGACTCCGAGTTAGCGCTACCCAGCACACGCTCATAATTTGCCCTCATGTACATTTTACCTCCTCCGGCGACCAGACTCCGTCTGGAATCACGCCTGCGCCGCTCATTGGCAGTCAACTCTAGCGATGGCAGGTTGGGTATCTGAATAGGCAATACTAAGGGTGGCCATTGGTCCGGTCCGGTCCGGATCGGACCAAACTAAGGAGAACCACGGTTTAATGGTGAAAGATATTTAACGATCAAGAACCGGACCAAAAGTGCATTAGGTCCGGTCCAAATGTAAATTCGGTCCATTTTTCTTCAATACTTATGAAATTCATAGAAATAAGGATCGAACCATATTATATTCAATTTGGTGTGATCCGATCCAAACATTGATTCGGTCCGATGTGGTCCGGTATGGACCAACCCATTGTCCACCCCTAGTCAATACCCATTCTTGCTCCCACTAACCATATGTTGTGGCGGGTAATATAGAGCATATATAAGGTGGATCGACCCACTTTTACATTTTATTTGAAAAAAATATAGTCAAAATATACTTTTTACATTAAAATAAAGAAAAATTGCTTAAGGAATGAAAATAGTGATAATAAAATAAATAATTGAGTGATTTACTTCTATTTTTACTCTATTTGTTGTTAGTGTACGTATAAAACCACGTTCTAATTAGGTGAAAAATCAAGTCTAACTAGTTAGGAAAAACAAAATATGAGAAATATAAATACATATTGTAAGAAATTGAGATAGAATGTGCATAGAACGCGGTCGAGAGGGGAGGAGGTGGACAGGGCGTGTCGAAATTGTATAACCATGCCCCTTAGCGTGGCCACCTTGAATTGGATAAGAATTCCTCCGCTGACAACTACATTGCATCAGTCGCCGACCACAACTCCACTCTTTCCGCAGAGGGATCGCGCCCAGCTTCCTTTGTCGTCGGGTCTCCCTCTCCCACCGCGACCCTTCCACTCCCTACTGCCTGCATGTGGTTGTCGTGGTCTCTCCCACCGCGGGCCTTCTCAACTCTGACACCATGCTTTTCCTATTGAATCAAGGTAACGCCATCCCAATATTGAGCAATTTTTAAATATGAAGCAATAGTTGAATTGATTAACTACGACATGAGGAAGGTGTTTGATTAATTGGCTTATGATTAAACTCATTTTAAATCTAAAAGAGTGTTAAGGGAATTGAAAAGTGAAGAGCTTAATTATAACTAATGGAAAGTTGGATGGTTTAAGTGGCAACCAAGTTTACGTTTTGCGGCAAAGCAATGAGTTCAAGAGAGAATTCCAATACAAACCGTCGTTGGATCGTCCTCAAATTTGCAGAACACGTTCCATACTTTATGGAATCCGATCCGACTGTTGGGATTGTCGTTATGATTTCTGGTTAGTGGAAAAATATTGTTGGTTAGACAGGATGCAACCTTATTTTCTTATAGCTGGGCATTTGGTTCCAGGGAGGACTCCAAAGAAACCAACCATTGGATCGTCCTCAAACTTTGAGGACATGTTTAATACTGGTTGTGGGTTGATTTGATCGTAGGGATCAATGTTCTGATTCCTGGTTTGTTTGGAGACGGTGTGAGATTGGTTGAAATTCCTTTAACTGAAAACGTACAAAAACACATCAGAAACGCTTTTTTGATCGATTTTACCCTTTTTAACGTTTTTACATACAATACGTTTTTATATAGAAACTGAAGCGTTTTGCCTAGTCATAAACGTAAAAACGTGCGTTTTTGAATTTTAAGACACGTTTTTTACTATATTGCCTCCTACAACGACAATCGCTGACCAACAGTCGTTGCAAGTACGAACAAACAACAATTCTCCTCCGTCTTCTCCGCAAAAGACGCGGTGAGCTTCTCTACTCCAAACTTCATCGACATTGTCAATCTCCACTTGTGACTTCCTCTTCCGCCATGGAGTTGGTTGTCGATTTTAGCGAGAAAAACGCTAGGCGCTCCAACGAATGTGAACTGATCTAGGTCACTGTCTATGGATGTGAGAAGTGGTGTGTACTTGCTGTTTGGGTGATTGGTTTTAGTAGTTTGGCAGAATATGAGCATAAGTGTGCTTCTGGTGCAAAGTAAAAATAACCGAAATACAGTTAAGTTCAAACTCAATTGCTGATAGAGGTGTAGTTAGAGTCAAGTTCGATCGAGTTCGGTTCAGGTTTGACCGAAACGACCGAATGCCAACCCCTAATACAAAGGCCGACATCAAGACCCATTCGTTGAGGCAAAATACTTGCTACATCTGCTGATTTCATTTCATTTGCACCTAGGCAAAGGAAAAGACCTAATTGCAGTCGCAGCCATTAAAAAATGATGATACAACAGATTACTAAAACATTCCCCTCACCCCAACTACTGTACACCACTCCATCTAGCCCAGTCGACAAACTGCATTCCACCGTATACATTGTTGGCGAATCGAACCCCAACGGTGAAGGCCATAGCAACTGGTGGGATCCTCTTTGCCAGAGGTGATGCCTCTACAAGGCATTCCAATCCATTAACGACTTGGTACCGGGTATTGGACGACACTGCCATGAAAACACCTGCAAATGTTCGGGGAACAGTCAAGAACCAGTTGGTGGAAGCAGGCAATAGTGATCATAGATGTCCCTAGATCCAATGTAGTTGTTTCTATTAGAAGTCGTGAACTTTACAATACGGAAAAGGAAGTGAAAAGAAAAAACAGTTTTAGGAGCAATACCCCAGAGAGCTGCACTCTTCACCAGTGGTGGCACTGGTACGTCTTCTTCTGACTTCTTTATGCTCCTGACTCAGACATATTGTATCTCAAATTAATGGAAGAGAAGTGGACTCGAAATATGTAAAGAAGATACATCAATGGTAGCTGCATGTGTCAGGACATGCCTGAAGGATTGGAGCAGTTTTGATAACACCACAAAATTCCACTCGAAGAGTAGAGGGCACAGCCACGTTTCATACGAGTTTATTATGCTTTATGTTCCAGTAATCAAGTACGTTGGGGCCATAAGTGAAACAAACTGCTTTAATAAATTATGCTCATCTAGACAATATAAGGCATACCTCTTAGCAGTCATGAGGAGATTTGCTATGCCTTGGCCTACAATACCGCATGAAAACCCGACTGCCCCGTACATGAAACCCTGGACATTAGACAGCTCGTGATCAGGAGTTAAACCGATAAGAGACAACTGGTTAACCACTGCAGCTTTGCAAGAGAATCAAGCTTGCCTTGAAGAAGTAGGTGGCAAGTCTCTGCTTGGTGGAGAATCTGCACCCTGGCCTTTCAGCTTCAAACACGCTGCACCATGTCATGACTTCAGTGTCAGAAACAAACAAAATGGCAAACTCCAAATTCAAAAACCACAAACCATAAGAACACCGGTGAAGGTAGATGCCTTTTTATTCTTTGTGATAAAGGAAGGCAACTGGATTCCCATTTTTGAATGGAACTACTAACCTACTGGGAAGAGCTGAATAAGCATATTGGAGTTGTCCCAGTAAACCCTTGGAAGCTGCTAACTTTCCAAAACGTGCATAAGGTGCCAACATACCAACTAAAGCTATGTTAACCACCACACCGACCAACATATCTGCAACATACAGTTCAAACTCCGCCCAAAAGTCCTTGCCCCTCTTTTGAACTTCAGCAAATGTGGCACAACAAGTGTCAATTACTATCTGCATGCCATTGAATTAGCTTACATCACTCCTACCCATAGCAATGCCAACAATCAAAATCTCACCCAAATGCCTATTTGATCAAGTGCGTGCATTGCAAATAACAACTAAAAGCTTCAGTCACTAACCTCAGTTCCAATTTTGAAAAGAAATGAGGGATCTGCCAACATTCTATTCCGAAGAATAGAACAAGACTGCATCAGAAAGCCCAAAATTCCACCAGCACCCTGAATGAGTGAAAGGAACAGAACAAGGATCAGCGAAAGCGCGGATCAAATCGAACAACCAATCAATAATGATCTCAAAATGATCAACTATTGGTACCTGCAACTCCAAGTATCTGAAGAGAAGCAATTTACGGATCCCCTCAGTCTTTGCAGCCTCCAGCATGTCAGAAGGAAGGGTTGCCCCTCTAGCCTCCGTCTCCTTGATCACCTCTTCAAACTTCATAAGCGGCCCAAACTGATCATCCTCTTCTTCCCCTTTCTCCCCTTCATCGCCGCTGCCGCTGCCGCCGCCACCTCCTCCGCCACCGGTTCCGCCCCCTCCACCACCCGAAAAGCTCCCATTTCCACCGGAGCCACTGTCAGTCTTCAGTTCGCTTCCACTGTCCAGTAAACCATTAGCCTTCCCGGACCCGAAATCAGTACCGTCTCCTTTGACAATCATCTCAGCCACGCCGCTCGAATGGGTCGGGTCGTCCGGCCCAGACATACTCATAACGATGCCTAGTTTCTGATTTCTGACGGACGGAAAGGCTGAGGTTCTGAACCTGGGGCGGATCGTCGGATTCGGACGCCATGCCCGGCTAATGGTGACGTCTCTGTGAAAATCAAGAGCTTGCGAGAGCCTGATGCTAGATGGGTAAGCTGCCATTTCGGATTCCTGGATTTCCTGACCGTAATAGGGGTGGGGAGTAGAGTTGGAGTCGAGGAGCAGAGTTAAGTATCAATGCCGGTTACGGATCAATTCAGTGGCGTGGCGACTCGGCCAAGCAACAAGGTGGGATTTTGGTAAATGATGCTAATTCTCTAGTATCATAGTCGTTTGTTGGCACGTGGGAAGACGACGGCGGAAAAGGACGATTGCTTTGCTCTAGGGTTTAGATTTGCTTGGCGTAGGTATTGAGTCGAGAAATCGGGGAAGATGCGTCGCTCGACGCTCGGGAAGGGGGAAGATGCAAAAGAAAAGCCCATTATCTACAAAACCTCTTAGTATATTGGTCTTGGTGTGTTAGGAAGCACAACAACTAAAATGGTCTTTAAATGCTATTCCACCACGGACTCTTAAAGTCTGTGGGGTCCACGAATTTGTTGCCGCTAAATTCATGAACCAAATAATAGAGTTTAGACAAAATTCATGATTGATTCAAATCGATCATGCAAACACCCCACTTTTAGTGCGTGAGAACTGGGTTTCCACCATTTAGATCCATATCAAAACAAGACATCTTTGGGCTCATAATTTGGATTACCTGCAATTAGCCCACATAATCAAATGGCTAATATAATTGTGAAAGATATGTGGCTCATAATAATTGAAAAATAATATTTCTAAAACATCCCCCGCTTGGACTGCATATTTTTGTCGAAAATTAAATTTCTTTAGCTGCGCAACTGTATGCTACTTGTGATTAGACATCTCATGAAACAATCTTGTCCAGATCATGTATTGTAGTGGAACTAATGCGGCTTTAATCACGACATGACAATAATTAAACCAACATGATCACTACACCAATACACTCAATGACATAGATTAAATACGGATGAGTGGCATTAAAATTAAATGCAATATGAACTTGAAAAAGCTCATTTTGAACTTGTCAAACTTTAATTTTTAGCGAGATCAACAGAAATTCCTTCATATAATGTAACCATTGCATAACTGAAGGCACTTAAAATCCAATATAGACTCTAGTAAACCATCACTTTATTATGCAAAAATTGATTTAGTCATAATCTATTGAATATCCATAAATGACTCCCACTAAACAAAAGTACCATCCGAAAAACTCTCATGCGAGCAGTATGTTGATGAAAAACTTTAGGTGTCAAACCTTTAACTCATGGGTAATGCACTTTATGTTTAATTAGAAACTTGTCTATTTTGAACCTTCTATTTAACCTCCAGAAACTTGATGTCAATAACTTTGACTTCTGAACTCATGTAGTAATGATAGTATATCACTGTCGAATCATTATCATTATTAACCTTTAATGACTTGTCATTGTCATACGACTAACAAAACTCAAGAAAGAACATAATTAGCATAAGGAACGACCACATATAACATACATTGTCATTGTCATACATTCCACAGAGTAAAAAGATGGAACTTTCGAAATCTACTCATGTCTGCAATTTAAAATATGTAATGATCACATATAAGTATATAACATCCAAACCATAAGTCATCATACATTCAACTTTAATTCAAATATATTTAGCACAATTAACAAAATGCTTAATTAGTGAAGCACAAACACACAACTACTTAAACATGATCATACTAAGCAAATTCATACATACCTTATAGTAATAATGAGGGAATGGAATTCTGGTGTTGTCGTGAGATTTTCTGCAAGTGTGGTGGAGAAGAGGTAAGTTTCTACTATGAAGGTGGAGAAGAGGGGGAAGTGAGAGTGAAATAGGGGTGTTAGGGTTGAATATTTATATTGGAATATGATCAACACAAGATTGCTTGAGGCTAAAGCGATCAATGCCAGATCGCATAAAAAACACTGTTAGTTTTGTACAAAATGGTCACAAACCTATTAACTTTGTACAAAATGGTCACAAACTTCTAATTTTGCACGTTTTAGTAACATACGTTTGAGAGAATAACGAAATGATCATTCCGTCCATCCCCATAAAAAACACTGTTAGTTTTGTCCAGTCATTACGCCACATCACTTAAAATATTAATAAAAAATTTAATAACCAAATCCAACTGAACCGTAGCTCAACCAAAAACCCTAACTCTCTACCCTAGTTAATAAAAAAAATGTTGGAGGGTTGCCCGCCCAGGACGCATGGCCGATAGCCAAAAACCAACAAAGGGTCGCCGATAGCTTCTCCCGTCGTCCCCAGAATCGCACCCGCGGAACAGTCTCCCGTCGCCGATAGCTTCTCCGAATCGCGTCTCAGGCCGAAACCAACGAAGGGTTGCCGCCCTGGTTGCGTCACTAACGAGAAGTTTCTGAAAGTCTCCGATCTCATTTTCAATCTTGGCTTCATGGTTCTCAACACCTTTCCCTATTCCATTCAAGAACTCCGGAATCTCCACTTTCACTGCAACAGAAATTAACAACAATTAACCGTTCTCCCATTATGAAACCTAAAGCTATGAAGCTAACAAAATTCCCAACTTATCATGAAGCAAGCCATTCTAACACAATCTCATTCAAGCCCACCGTATCTGTTTTCCCAGACCAATTACCAATGATCGAGAAAACACCCATCAAATACCAAAAAAAAACCAGAAATTATCTACATCGCTCATCCGGGAAACCATTAGCGAAAGCAATAGACAATTCAGCTGGGAGATTCGATTTTAACAGGGGAAAAAGGTCGCGACCCTTCGTTGGTTTCGGCTGGCGACGCGACCCGGAGAAGCTATCGGCAACCCTTCAATGGTTTTTGGCTATCGGCGGCGTGACCTGGGAGGTGTCCCTTCGTTGATTCGCTCTGGTATAGAGTTATGGCTTTCGGTTGGGCAGTCCGGTTCAATTGGGTTTGGTCATCGAATTTGTTATTAATATTTTAAGTGACGTGTCATGTTGACTAGACAAAATTAATGGTTTTTCTGGATGGATATGGACAGAATGACCATTTCGTTATTCTCTCAAACGTATGTTACTTAATCGTACAAAATAAAAGGTTTGTGATCGTTTCGTACAAAGTGAATAGGTTTGTGACCGTTTATGCTAATTACCCAACCCTAGCCTCATGCCCAATATTGATCGCGTTTGACCACAAGATTAAGATTAAGTATGATCACTTTTGTCAACCGTTGCACCAACCCTAGTCTCATGGAAAAACAGATGCACCAACCCTAACCTTGTAGTGAGAAGCGATTTAACTTTGATCGCCTTCATTTTCGACAATCATCTCTTCCCACAACCATAACCAACACAAACCAATTTTGCATGAGTCTTTCATGTGCAGGTCTTTCTTCCTCTATCTTTTCTCTCATATCTTACTTTTTTTCCCTTCATCATCACACGCTTTCACGAACCAGCGTTTGTATGTACATATTACACAACATCCTCCCCACCTCCAAAAGAATCGAGAATTCTGCTGAATCACGTATCATGAGTTCCCTACTTCCACCTGAAAAGAATAATGGCTGCCTGTACAAACAAATCATTTACAAATGGCAAAGAACAGGGGTCAGTCCAAGAGAGGAGAGAAAAATGTGAGAACTTGTTTTTCTGTTGTTGTTGATCTATGACGACGGCTGATCCGAATCGCATTTCACAAGGGCCATCCTTTGAGAACGAGAACATCCCTGCCTGTTGTTGAGGATATCAATGTAATTGCGAAGCCTGAACCGGTCTGAGTTCGTGAGTGAAAATGGAGGGTTCAGAATGAGAGAAGGTGCCTCCACAAGAAGGAACCTTAACAACCTTACTGCTTTGGAGTATAACAAACTTGCGCTTTCCATTTCTCCCATTAGCTCATCTACCTGCTCAAGACATCATCATCATCATAAAACAAGATGCCATTGGCTTTCATTCTCTGAATTGAATCGAATCAAACCGACCTTTCTCCTAAGTTAGAGCTTCAATCACAGGGAAAATAATAAGTACTGACCCCTCCATTTCTTCCAAGAGTGAGGGCAGACTGGAAAATAGTCTCCAGTGCATCTGGCATCTCTGTACTCCCTGCATCAACCTCCATGGTGCATAAATGATTGCCTGACCTTAAAAAAGTGCATGCTTGACTCCAACATAAAATAAACACACCAAGACATCCACTCAGGTTTACAATATTTCTGCCATGCCCAACTAGTCCATTTTAGTGTATGTTTACCACACGGCTATTCTAGGAGCTTGTCGCTTTCAGAAGCTGGTTTCTGGATTATTTCATCACAAGTGCAGAAATGAAAAGCTGTACTGCAGATGGCTTCTAGATTTTTTCCTACATCATTACTATTTTAAAACTAAACTGGTTATAACATAACCGAAGTTCAACAAGATCCGTATTGACTATGTTTCAAATTTTGTTCGTATTTCTCATCCTTAGCGTCATTTGTTATTTTGAAATGTTAAACCAGATGCTCAATTGCTTTTCTTAACCAGGGCTTTGCTGGGCCAAACAGATCCCTTACACGCAAACAGCTTCCTAACTCAACAGTCTCTACATCTATTAGTGCAGCCTATAAGTGCATTAAACCAGGAAAGTTATATTGACGAGCCTTAAAACTATAAAATAAAAGAGCACAGGGTTTGCATGTCATGAACAGTTCCAGGTTACTGAGGTAAATTGGGAAAACTGCAGCTATGCATCACACTTTTTTTATAATAAAAAAACATACCAGGTTCAATAGCATTGGCAAGTTCCTCGGCATGCTCAACCTCCCGAAGAAAATCTCTCTCAATATGAGTGGTGTTTATCTCCGGCCCAATATCATCAGAACAACATTCCATCTCTGATGTACCATGTTTAATCTTACTGCTGCTTCTCCTCATCAATCTTATGTTTTCCTGGCTTGGACTTCCTTCAATGGCTGAAGCAGCCTGAGCATGGCATATATGCAAGGCTTGCTTCCAAATTGCAAGTATGACAAGTTGGATTGAGAAAGCTTCCAAATGTCTGCCAGCCTCGATCTATTCAACAACTAAGTGCTGATAAGAAAGCAGTACTATACTTTTAAGGAAAGACCTCACATAATTCAGAACTCACGGAGTCACGGTAAAGTCTTGTGATTTCCATAGACTATACACTTGATTCCGACCAGTGGGCATCAGTTAATCAAATAACCAACTTTTATCTTTAACATCTAATTTTAAAATCATATGGACCCTACTTTACTCTATTATTTTCTTCATTTCCAATTCAACCCGTTTCTCTTCTCAAAAACGCAATAAGCTTCAGGGACCAAGTAATTCCACACCAATCAAGTACTTCAATAACTGCTCAAAAAAGAGTATTTATTGCAATAATTTGTTCGCACACTTTCATTTCTAATCTTTGCTCCAGTCGACAACTACACCCAATGACCTCATATCAGTTGAACTAAGCAGAGCCTAACATACCCATGATAGAGGACATGTCGAATATGTTACCTTTTCTTGGACAAGTTCAGTTATGGTCGATGCGCACTGCTTCAAAGACTTTATCCTGGTCATGCAGTCAGGTGATGGCTGCTCTAGGGAACGTCCTATATCTGTAGATCCTTGGGAAGTGCGAGGAGCAGAGCCTGGACTATCGATGCTTGCAATGCGGGCAAGAGTAGTAGGATTGCCAGTTCCAACTAAAGGAACAAGGGCGCTAGGTCTAGGTATTATATGGCCCGATGTTTGAGGGGCACTCTCAGATTTAAAAGGTATCTGGCTAGGTTTGGAATTGCCAGCCAAAGAAGAAGACACATCCAAAGGTGGTCCAGAAACCAAAACATAATCAAGATCAATCGACTCTAGAGAATCCACGACTGCATGAACCATATGATGTGTAAGAAATCAGGAATCAACGACTGGATAGCAATACGGCATTGTATAAAGATAATTATAAGTCATGGGTCTAGACATGTCTCAGTTACCTCTCGGCCTGATGCTGCTCACTGGCCTTGGCGCTGCCGTCTTTGAAGTTTCACTTTGATTTTCATCCAAAAGTTTATTGATAGTGGGCCTAGCTATAGAATTACCAGATGGGTATCTGACAGAGATATGCCCTGAAGGTGTAATATCTACATTATTTAAAGCATTAAATTTTGCATCCCTTTCATCAGCTCTAGTGTCAAGAGAAAATCCATAAGTGGTCTTGATTGATGAGTTCCTAGTAGAGAAAGCAAGACTACCCTCAGGACCACTAGAATCATCATCCAGAAAAAATGGCAGACAATCCTCCTGAGGACTGCTTTTCCCAAGGGAATTAGTATCAGACGGTGAGAAGCCATCTGCAAATCTTGAAGGTCTCTGAGCCCTGACAAAACTTGTTTTAGAAGCTGAGAGGAGAGATGCATTATGGTCAAGCAGACTGAACTTCTACAAGAGATACCTCAATGATTCATCTGCTCTCCTCTGAGAAAGAAATGGGTGGTTAAAGAATTCCTCAAAAGTCAACCGTTCCACTGTATGTACAAAAGTGAAGCTAAGTTACAACTTACAAATGCAAATTGAGATTCTAAAATTTCCCAAAGATCAATATACTAATAAAATGATTCTCTACCTGATACTTTAAAAAATAGTCTACAAATACAGTAATTACTCCAGTTCTTAGGCCACAAAATCTGCTAAATGTTAGATTGAAAGATAAAATTAACGAGGAATATTTTCCGTGTACACCAAATAGGACTTGGTGCTATAAGTTGCTCTTTCAGTAAACATGAGAAGGTATTTCCCATTTCAAGTTGGTATGAATGGGATACCTGGATTTCGACGCAGCAATCTGTAGCATAAATCTGTGCACTCAGTACTCAAATTAACTTATGGTGGAAATTGCAATCCAGTTGATTTCATGATATTCTGGAGTAACTGTGTAATAGAAAGAAAAGTGAGACTCACCGGCAAAGCTGCATTATCTATTTTGACAAGCTATAGCATGACTTTAGTATGCAATCTCGATGGCAATAAAGAGAAGCTAATCATACCTGCAATTGGTTGCTCCCAGTGAATGGGGTTTTCCCAGTTACAAGTTGAAATAAGATGGCACCAACACTCCAGAGATCTGCCTGCGTATCCGGTGCAAGGTTAGTGCTTACCCTCAGTTCACAAAACACAGCGCATAAAATGTGAAAGCAAGCATCACCTTTGCATCATACTTCTGAAGTTGCATTATTTCTGGAGCCATGTAAAGGGGTGAACCACACAAGGTTTCAGCAAGGCCTCTTGGTTGAAGAGATCTGGAACGGAGAATAAAAATCCAAAACTGAAATATTAGAGAAATGGAAGTCTCCTGCCAACGAAAAAAAAAAAAAGTGAAATGGAAATAACCATCTTCAAACGGAACAATCAAAAGTGTCAGAAAAGATACAGAAGTGGCAAGGGAATATTGTGATAGAAATTACCTAGCAAACCCAAAATCTGCCATTTTTAGTATGCCATTGTTGTCATTGGTGGACAGCAGGAGGTTCTGAACCAAGATTTAAGTACACGTCACAAAAAGAGAGATAAGCACATTGTTCTCTACCTGACATAGTCAAGAAAATTATAGCCGAGACTCCAGACTTCAAACCGAACAATAACATACCCTAATCTCTACTGGCCGAACCCCAGTTCCCAATTTCTAACCCAAACTATAAGATTCATTTAATCCCAAAATGAAAACCAACGATTCTGATTCGTCGGAATTATCCATCTACAAATAATATGTGTGAAGGCGAGCGTTGGGGTCTTGCTTAGCACCTAGCACGCCTAAGTATATTTAGACGTTAGAGGAAAAAATTAGCATTTGTACTAAATAATGAATAAAATAGTTATTTTACAACACTTATACTTCATTTCAAATGACCAATAACTTAACACTTAGCAATTAGAAAACTAGCTCAGTTCATATATTCGTAGCTCAATAGCTCACAAGGTTCTTGAGTTATTAAAAAGATTTGTGAAAAAATATTGAGGTTGTAGATGATGTTAATTTCCTCATTTTGATATTAGTTGCCTAACTCCAGCTAGTTACACCTAGAAGATACATAGGTGTTGTCGAACTCCGCTAACGTGTTCTGCATTCCTCTCATTGAGGAACCCTAGGCGAGGCATTTTACGTTGCCAAGCGCCTAAGCGTAAGCTTAATCTTGCCTTTTTAAACCATGCTATGTAACTTGTGAGTATGCTATTACATCATAACCTCTAATGGATAATCCATACTCAAATTCTCCAAACCTGAAGTACAATTGAGTAGAAAAAAATTATTTATTGTTCAAAAAAATATATGTATACGGTGCCACTCACTCACAAAAATAAGTGCATAATTTGCACATAACTCTAAAACTAGCCTTAAACACCAATTTTTTAATTTCAATGTGAAATATTAATCTAATATAATGACATAACATAATATCACAACTAACCAATGCAGTACGCTAATCCTCGACCTTCAATTCTATACTCTGAACCTAAACCCCATATCATAAACCCTAAACCTAAATTACTAAACATAAAATTCTTAAAATCAAAGTAAATCTTGAATGATTTTTGTGCAAATTCGTGAACTTTCTTGTCAATCAAATCACAAGTGACGATTTACATTGTTTTGTCATAAAATCGCCTACTTAGAATGACGATTATAAGATGGTGCATAGCACTTACCAAAAAAGTGGGTGCACCGACAAAGTTTGAGTGTGGACATACCTGTGGTTTTAAATCTCTATGTATGAGATTATTATCACGGAGAACTTGCAAGCCAGCAGCTGCAGAAAGCAAAATGCTCATCATACATCATCAGGCTTAGAAACTACGAGGCAGCCAGCAGCAACCAACTAGACATGAGACATGAGATTAGAGACATACCTAATTGCTGCATGAAATGCTTAGCAAGTGCTTCTGGCACTCTTCCATGGCGTTGAATGTACATAGAAAGATCGCCCCCTCTGCAGTATTCCAATACAATGTGTATTCTGCCGGGAACCTATTTCAGGATGGCACAAATTCAGAGAGTAAGAACGACATTGAGTATAATAAATAATTGCTATAGTGATTGCTCAACTTGTGCACCGATGGCTACAACAACTCCAGGAAACTGAAAACAATGTGTCATTCCAATGGCTCTCTCGGCTACCCAGAAACCGAACTTAAATGAGGAAGGCGAGCTAATTGGCAATCGGCATTAACAATTCCATGGGGAGATTTCAAAAATTCAACTGGATAGGCCAAAGAGTCAATTGTCCCAGAAACCAAAATTCGCCTTTCAGATACGGCACGAGAAGGGGGGGAAACTTAACCGAACCTCGATAATATCGTGAAGGGAAATGATGTTAGGATGATTAATCCGCTTCAAGATGAAGATCTCCGACATGAGACTCTCCTGCAACTTCTTGTTAAGTCTACCAGTAACAATCTCTTTTATCGCCACTTCCGTGCCATGCACCCGGTGCCTAGCATGCCAGACCACGGAGAAGGAACCCGACCCGATTTGCCTGCCAACCATGTAGTCCCCGACAACTCTGCCTCCCCTCCCTCCTGTCCCCTGACCCGCCATGGTTGCTGCTCTGCTTAACCAAACCCAATAGGGAAGAGGACGAACAAACACGATGAAAACAAAACAAGTCGCGGCTCGGCGGCTACAGAGAAAATCTCGAATTCGAGAGTGCGCTTGCAGGCTAAGCTATGCTTCTGAGGCCGCAAGCGAAAGAGGAGGATGGATAGCGCCGAAGATTCGATGCAGGTACAGAAGAATCGGATTGGCGGAATGGAGACGATAATAATTAGTGAAAGAGAAAGGTACGGTCCGCCAGGGGAAAAGATGTAGAGAGGGATGTCGGCTTTTTGTTGACGAGGTCTCATGAGAATATCAGTTTAATTTTGGCAATTAGAAAGGAATAGTTTGGACCAACCTGTATGTGGGTATCGCAATGTGCGGCTTTGCCTAAACCATCCACAGAGTGCTGATTCGGTGATTAAGGGGGATGTTTAGGCACTTGACTAAGCCCCTCCCAACCCTTAGATCTGGACACATCAATCTGATGGTTAAAAAGTGGGAAGGGATATTTAATTAATGACAGGGATAGTTTGGATATTATGGAAAATTACGAAGTATACAAGCCGGACTTACAATCAGTACAAACCATACAAACATACGAACAGTACAAACTAGAGCGACAAAACATACAAACAGATTTATAAACATTACAAACATATGAACTGTACAAAAAATACAAACTAGACCGACAAACAATACAAACCATACAAAAAGAAAAAACAACCAGGTTGACTTTGGAGGCTCCATCCCTATATAGAGGGTCTCCTTCCCAAAGTCAACTCGGGTGTTTTTTAGACATACAAACAGTACGAACATGGTGAACAAAAATGACAAACTAGACCGACAATCCATACGAACTGAAAAAACACACAGGTTGACTTTGGAGACTCCATCCCTATATAGAGGGGCTCCTTCCCAAAGTCAACCCGGGTGTTTTTTAGACATACAAACATTGTGGACAAAAATGACAAACTAGACCAAAAATTCATACAAACTCGAAAAACACCCGGGTTGACTTTGGAGGCTTCATCTCTATATAGAGGAGTTCCATCCAAAAGTCAACCAGGTTGTTTTTAGACATAAAAAACATTACAAACATGGTTGACAAAAATGATAAACATGTTGCACAAAAATAACAAAGCTTACAAACATTACAAAAGAACCCACAAACATTACAAAATAACAAAGTTTACGAACATTACAAAATAAACGACAAACATCACAAATTCAACACTATCGCCGGAAAAACCTTCTCCGGTCGTCGGAAAAGTCTCCTCCGGTCGCCGGATCAGTAGAAAAAAATCAAAAATAAAAATCTCTCTCTCTCGAAACTCAAAATAATGGAGCATGAAGGGAGAATTCCCCTGCCCGACAATTGCCCAGACAACGGCCGGAATTCCCTGGCCGGAAAAATTGACCACCTCTCTCTCTCTCTCTCAGCTGTTGGGAGAATAAAAGCTTGTTTGGGAAAATTAAATCCCACGGCCAGAAGCTTTTGGGTGGGGAAATTAATCCCACAGGCCTGGGAATGGCGGCGCAAGTTGGCGAGCCGCCGGAAAATCCCCAGAAAACGAAACGGTCGCACGGATACGGACGGGGAGAATTGCATTGTTTTTTTAATTGTTAAATAAATTAATTATATAATTACCACATTACCCTTCATTAAAATGGATTAATCTGAACCATTGGATTTTAATGAGGTGGAAGGGCTGAGATTGACTTAGTCATGTGACTAAGGCCCCCCCTCTTAGTCACCTGATCCTAGCCCACATACATACTCGCTTTCAAGTATTCAAATCCATACTCCCCACATCCCCATACCCGTGGGTTTTGGGTATCCATAGGTAATACATGCCCGTTAATTTAACATTATAACAACTAAAATTTTATAAGTAAATTTTCAATTATAACACTAAACGCATCTACTATATCATGAAGTCGACAAAGAGACAAATCATTCTTAACACGGTCAAAGCATCTTATACTAAAACATCCGTTAATCCATAAGTTAGAATACAATGTAATCCAAATCATTATTCTCTTACTCTAATATATCTGTTAAGTAATAACTAACTAACATAATCTTGTTAACAAGGGAAACTATGAAAGAGTGAAGAGAGAGTTGAGGAAAAAGAATTAGATTTTGATTTGGATGGCCACCAAGGTTGTCAACACGCGGGTTGACCCGGACCCAGTAGAGCTAGTGGGTCAAGGGTTAATAAGTCACCCATTTTAGCCTCGTTTAGCCCGGAAATATGGAAAAAGTCATTATATTGTACTTATCCTCATAAATTATATCAAATCTCGTCTAACATATGAGTTAGAACATATAATATTACACCAAGATAACATGGTATAGTTAGATCCATCATATAGTGAAAATTCACACACACTTGCATAACATCAATATTCAAATGTTCAACTTAGAATTCCAAAAATTGAGTTAAGCGAAAAGAAAATTCGAAAAATAGGCGCATTTCACAAATAAAAAAATGACACAATTTGACCTCCAACCCGGTACCTTGTAGCGGTCGACTCAGCGGTGCGTGCGACCCGTTTTTCTCACCGGATCAGGGTCAAAGTAGGTAGACCCGCGGTTGACAATCTTGGTGGCCACCCAATTACATTTTTACTTAATATTTTCTTGAGTTATCCTCACTATTATAGATAGGTTACAATTTAATCAATGTTTATTTTATATGTGAAGAAATTATCCAAATGGGGCAGGTATGGATATGGAGCGAGTACCCATCAAATATTTTGCGGGTTTTACCCATACCCGCCACACTCCAGTTCAGAATCAAACCCATAAATATAATGACCCATCCTAGCATGTCCTGCAACCCAAAATAACCTGAATGCTATGATCTTATCTAACTTGTCTAGCCAGTTTCGACATTCGTTCTATCGAGCAATCGATATTCAATAGTATGCTCATCACCATCAAATATACATCTAGGCTTACATGGCATGGCTATGGCGAAATAGAAAACAATGCTGCTGATCTTATGGTTGGGCGACCATATCAGCTCCTCTTCAAGCAGAAGCTCCATTTCCAGCTCCCATGGCTTTATCAACTTCTTCTAGAGCAGCCCACAATTTCGGATCAGCATAGTTCTTGATCAGGAACGTAGGCTTGGCTTGCATCAACAAATCCTCTGGGTTTCTAGTGGTTATACCGATAACTGGCATCCCAGCTGCAACTCCAGCTTTGATTCCCGATACAGAATCCTGTCAAAACAGCATTAGTCAGGATTTTCTCAAGGTTTTTGTGGAACAAGCAGAATACAAATAAAACAGAGGTAAAAGGTAAGAGAGACCTCAAACACGAACGTGTGCTCCTTCGACACTTGGAGGACCTCGAGTGCTTTCTGGTAAGGTTCAGGGTGTGGCTTAGCATGCTCACAATCGTCTCCCAGAATGACAGCCTGGAAGAAATCTGTCAGCCCAAGTTTTGAGATCATGAGATCAGCATTGTGTTTCGGAGCGTTGGTGACTGCAGCACGTTTCAAACCATGATCTTCGATCCACTTCTTCACTTTGTAGAGGCCTTCTATCGCTGTAATGTGATCAGCAGCCAATCTGCGTTTGTTTTGAAACATCAAGTTTTGAGTTTATCATACTGTGGCAGGATTCCATTGATGTGAGAGGGTTCTCATGTTTAGATGAGAAGAAATCAAGCAGGATTGTTTTTATACTTTCGGAAGTGTGTTTCCTTGTCCACCATGAACTTTATGCCACGAGGTATATCGTCGGGGAAAAGGAATTTTGCGATTTCCTCATTGTGCTTGCCAGAAATATTCTTGATGAAGAACTCCTCAGATATTGGTTCCCCGTTGTTGTAGTTGATCTGTTCAACAGCACAAGAATGCAATTATTATAACTCATGTGAGTCAATGGTTCAAGTGTTCAACACGAAACTAGAGCGATTATTTATTCCAAATAACATGTTAACCTACTGATACGATATACATTAAACAAAAATGGCCAACCCCTATAGATCCAAATTCTCCTTCAAAAATAAAAATAAAAACTGAGAATGAATCAAGGTAATACCTCTTGAAGCAGTTCAGCAAAGGCGCGATGATGAATTGGATCTGTGTCACATAGAGTTCCATCAACATCAAAAAGGACAGCTTCAATTGGAGCGAGTTTGGCGAGAGAACTGCTACTGCATGTAAAAATTGAAAAAACTGTAAGTGAAGGCGAGAAAACTGCTACTGCATGTAAAAGTTGAAAAAAAAAGCTACATAGTGTTACTGCATGCTAAAGAACATATAGAAATAGAAACAAAACAGCCCATTCATTGTCTAAGCTTCTTGATGAGAAGGAGACTAACTGAAATGCGCTGGCCGTGTACATTATGTTTCATCACAGTTTCTCAATTTGAAGCCGGCTCCTTACAAATAGTCTTAACACAAATGTCATGTCAACCAAGCCTCGGTAGGTGAGATTTCTCAAGGAACTACAATTCCAAGGTTGGCTTTTGTGCAATGGAGTAACACCTACTGGTAGTATAACTCATGAACTCCTCCATTTTGAGGGTTTACCACCCATCAAAGGGGACGAAACATTGCACATTCACACAAGTTCACTAACTTCCTTAACTCAGCTGGAAATTTTCATGAGATCCTCTACCTAGTTTCCAGCTTGCTAAAAGTTGGGATACTGTCCTTTCAAAGCAGTAGTGAAAACGCATGGTCTGAGAGTGTTCTCTCCCTCCAAACCACTGCAGAATAGCAGGCAACGGGCACCCATCCAATTCAAAGCCTAAAAAAGCAATGCCCTTTAGCAAATGATGAAATGTGCAGCATAAAGAGTCAAGATTGGGCCACAACAGGGCAGGATTAGTGTAACGACGACAATCGCCAAACAATTTCAGCACCCAACATACATCTCATAGTACTAATACCTAAACTCATTTTGAATCCAAGATAAAAATCAAACGACAACCCAGTTCTCTGTTGAAATTCCCAGAGCTGCACCTAATCTAGACCCAGAAAAACTGAAAGCGCATGGCATGCATATTCAAAAATTTCATGCGTTGGACAATGAAAGCAAAGCATAATGCAGAGAACCCACTTCAGATATGCGATCTGAGAACCCAAAAAACCTACAGGAAAACGAATTGAGATTCGGGGGGCTCACGTATCAGCTGTGCCAGTCATGTTTCTGATGACTCGCGGTGGTGGTGCAGACAGTTTTTTCCGAGGAAATGGGGGTTTTCGAAGAAGAGATGGGGGGAATGGCTGTGATCCGACGCAGGAAGGAGGACGAAGAAGTATCTGATACGACGGAATCGAATCTATCACTGGCGGAAGAATGACTGAAGACCCAGACATTTGGTAGTCAAATCACAAGTGTCCCTTCCGAGTTCCGCCATTCCCTTCCAGTCTCCAGACTATCCGCTCCCCACTCTCTACTAGCCTCCACTTTCTTCCAGCCATTTTGGGCCACATGACGGAAATTCACCTAATTGCACCTAAACTTTACAGGAAGTTCATACAAAGTCCCTATTTTATTTTCACTCTCTTACTTTTTTTTTCTCTCGAAAAGATAGCTTGCACTAAATTTCACTCTCTTACTTTACTTTCCAAGTATTTGATTATTCTTTTTCAAATCCTACTGGTAACAATTTCGTAAGTTTCAAAAAAAAAAAAAAAAAAAAACAATTTCGTCCAAATTAACAGATTTATTGTATTTGTTTACTCACATATATTAGTGAGAATGTCATTATCGATCCAAGTAATATGATGGAAAAGGCTAGCATGCTAACATTATCTCCAGCCAAAAATTGGTTGTCAAAAAAAAAAGCTCCAGCCAATAGGAACATTTTTTTTGAATAATTTTTTCATTTAAATGAGTTGAGCACAATTAATAAAGGGAAAAAGAATGAGAGTCACGTTGGTCATTAATAATAATTGTGGGAAGGGGAGTAGGATCAACTATCTTTTTTGCATTAAATGTGAGAAAGAAAAGGCGACCACCGAAGTAGGCCAAAAACTCCACAAATTAGGCTAAAAACTTCACAAAGTAGGTCAGAACCTCAAAGCATGCTAGAACCTACACAAAGTAAGCCAGAACCTCAAAATGTGCTAGAACCTCAAAGTTGGTCAGAACCTCCTCAAAGTAGACCAGAACCTCCTCATAGTATGTCGTACTTGTTTGTAAAATTTAAAAAGTTTAGATACCAAAATGTAAAAAAAATAGATACCAAATATTAATATCTGTTAAGATTGGTTACCAAAACTGTAATTTGTAAATGAATAATAGAAAAACAACGTAGATGGAAGGGGAAGGGAGAGGAGAAGGAGAAGCAAGGTTGTGAAACTGGTTTAAATCATTGAACCGGTCAAGCAAGGGGTTTGAGGTTTAATGGTTTGATCGGGGTCCGACTGGTTTGAGCCATTTTAGACGTTTTCAAATATATATATACAAATAAGATAGTAATGAAAGATTTGATGACTGAAATGAAATTTATCTTACATGTTTTTATTAAAAACTTTTTTCCACAAAATAAATCTACCTAACCTCCATGACCCACCCACCATCTCCATTTCATTGTTCATCTTCCTCTCTTCCCCTCTCTCTTCTTCTCCCTCTTTAGCGGTCGGGCCGGAGGGCTTTTTGGAGGCCGTTTTGAAGCTCAAATTAGGTCAGATAGGGTCCAACCGAGGGTTCGATAGGGGTATAACAACCTTGAGGAGAAGGAAAGGGGAAGGGGAAGATAGAAAGGATAGTTACTATAATACCCTTATAGTAAGTGTTAGTATGATGCTAACACTTAAAAATGTTAGCACCATATCCACTCTCTAATATGGTATATGTGTCACCTAATAGAAGAAATATTAAATAGAGGAATTTTACAATGCTTAAAGTATTGGTGCTTTTAGTTTTTGCTTTTATGGTACATTTTGAAGTTGTACTTTTAACATTATGATAAAATATGAGGTTGTATGTAACTACCTATACGCTTTTGTTTAAGTCCATTTATGGTACAAATTAAAGATATACCTTTATGTAACAACTTCAATTCGTACTTTTAAAGTTATGTTACAATTTCAAGTTGTATTTTAAATCACCGATACTTTAAAACATCATAGAAGTGCTCTATTAAATAATACTTTGAATCACATTTATCGAATAATAAGAAAAAATGTCCAATATATAAAATATGTGTTGCTAATCATGCATGAGTCGACCCCAACCAACCACTATTATGAATCGAACTTAAGGAATACCAAATCGTATAGAAAATCACAGTTTACAGAAAGACCGCACGATTTGATCCTGACAGTGAGACAAGAATCACGGTCTGGTCTTGCTTGTGATCTCCATTTTAAGTTGGTTCTAACGCGATCTAGATCGCGATAAACCACAGTTAACTATGACAGATCATGACTACTCACCAATTCAAATCAAAATAACACTAAACCTCAATTTCTGCATTTGGAAGAACAATTCAAGCCTGATCAATCCGATCATGGCGAGCAAATAATTTGATCTTCCTATTAGCCTATAAAGGAGGAACGTTTGACTGTTATGTGATTAAGCAAAATATTAAGTATGTACCATATATTATATATAATGGGTCAGACTGGTGTACTCTTGGAGTATACTATACTCCCGGTACTCTTTGCGAATATCTCTATATAGACCATGAATTAAATCGAGTTTGGAGTATGATACTATATTCTAACCTCTAATGGATAAACCCCAGCCCCCGATTCTCTAACCTCAAACCATAAGTCCAATTTAATAAAAAATATTAATTGACCGTTAAGATTGGTTGGAGCTCAAAAAATGAAATCTAACAGCCAGATCACTTACAGCTTGTTTGGATATAATTTTGTTGGAAAATGAATTCCATTTCTTGTGAGAATCTGAATTCAAGTGGGAATTCATTTTAAGAGTTTATGTTTGGAACAAATCCAAAAGTTTGGGAAATGATTTCATCTTCTTATGTTTGGAAAAAAATGGAAATGATTTCTTGCAAATGCTTTTACAGTAATATTCTTGGTATTAATGATTTCAAATCCAAAAGTAGTAAGGGCTTTCTTGTAAAGGTGAGTCAAAATTAATGTGGGGTCCACTAATTCCATCACTACTCCACCAATTCCGACAACTTTTGGTAAGATTTAGAATTTCCAACTTTTTCCCTTTTGGAATTCCATTTCCTTTTTATTTTTTACTTCCAAACATGAGAATCATGAAAAGTTTGAGAATTGGAATTCCATTTCCTCAATATTTAGTCTATCCAAACAGGCTTAGAGTATACTATACTCCTCGAGTATACCAGTCACTACCTATATATAATATATATTAGATCAACTACTAATTACTTAACCCACTAATTTGATTCAATTGACTAGAAGTGTTTGAGAACAAATCAAATTACCTAAATCAAACAAGTTAAATTTTTTTAATCAAATCAAACAAATCATCCAAATTAACCAAATCAAATTATCCAAATATTACCGATCAATACGGTTATCACGGTCTGAAACCTACTAATATAAGATCATAGTTCTGGTCTTATGGAAGAAGGGTTTCAAAGTGGAGGAGAAGAGACACCGCCGTCCAATCCTCCGTCGACATCCCTACCGTAGGGATCGAACACTTGCTCTGTCTACATCCCTGTAGCCATTCCTATTCATATCCAGAAGTGGCCAGAGAAAAAAAAAAAGTAACATGTTTTCTTTCTACTCGATTTTTGTCTCAGTTCTCGATTGGTTTCAATGGCTCGTCTGGGCGAAGTTAATGCCCTGCGGCAAATTTTTTTGAGAAACTAATGTTAGGAGGAGCTCGTCCGACTCGTCGTTACCGCCATTGCTGTATGCTTGTCGGTATAGGGAGGCTGATAGTGTGAAAGTCCGAACCTTTCGATCGAGAACGTATAAGTGGCGCCATTGGAAATCGAACTCAGGACCTTGCACATTCAGAACTCAATTGGTCCAGTGATTTCACCACTAAACTATGTCACCTTTGGCATTGATAGATAATTTTAGAGATCAATTATGATTGAATTATGCTTTTTAGTACGCAATATTATTAACTTTTTCGGTATAACCTTAATAAATTGGATTCGGTTCTTAACCGAGGTGAGAAGCGTTTCAGCTATTTTGGGTTGTTTGAGAAACGGTTTCTCCTACTCTTCTCTTTCACCAGAGAGAGAAGAATCCGCTCGCTGCTGCAGCTGATCGGAAGCAGAGAACCAGATAGACACACTCAACCGCATGAAAATGGAAAGAAACTCCCCACCGAACTGGTTTAGAGCATAGCGATTCCCCCGGCACGTCGGCGCTCGACTCACATCTCTTTCCTTCACCCTCCCAGCTCTTGTCTCCTTCCATTCCAAACAGGTACAATTCCGCTTCCGAATTCCATTTCCATTTCTGATCCCACCCAAGCAATGCTTTGAAAAGTATTTCCCGTTCGTTTTCAGATTGGTGGAATTCGTTTGATGAGCTTAGGAATGGGGTTCGTGGAAAATCCGATTCATGCGAAGTCGACGAACGTGGTGTCCTCGCCGTCGAGCGCCGGCAGGGCTCATCCGGAAGGGAAACCAGTGGAATTGGGGAAGCCCAAGTATAAGCAGCGTAAGGTTTCAGCGATTCGCCATTGGCCGCCTAACTCTGGGCCGAACTTCCGTTCAACAGTATCACCACCAGGTAACTCGGTTAAGATTGAGTCCCATGGTCGTGTAACGGATTCTAGTGGCAATGGTGGATTGGATACTATGCGGGAGGGTGAATTGGAAGTCTCGAATGGTGTTGCCGTTACGGATGATTCTGTAGAATTGGAGAAGAACGATTTCACTGCTAGAGATGAGGGTTTCGTTGATCAGAGAGATAATACTCTTGAGCAGAAAGATTGTGCAAAATCTGCGGTGGTAGATCGGAAGTATCCACCGAGGAGGAAGGTTTCATGTGTTAGACACTTCCCGTCGAATTGTGGAAGAAGTGCTCAGCTTCCTGGCATGGTGCATGGAGACAGAGTGGATGAGATCGAAGAGGAGAATCATATGCCATTGCCAGAGAAGGTCAGAAGAGATGCTGAAAGTGTTAAATATGTTTATATGGATGGTGGAGCTCCAAGTGGGAGGAGGTTCGATAGCAATATCACAGAGCGCAATGGTGTTAGGATTGAAGCGAAGCCGAAACAGTTTAGTGGGAATGGGATGACAAGGAATCCGAATGCGGTTGCTGCCCCGAAGTACAGCTCAGTCTCTGAGAAGATGATGTCCAAGGGTAAAGGGGCACCTAGCTCTAGTAACTTGCGTGTTGATGAAAGTAACCTTAAAAAGAAAGTTGTATCGAGAGAGAGTAAGAAATCAGCTTCTTTGGCAAAGGAGGATGACTGGGAAGAACTTTATGATGCTGATAATGGCTATGATTATGAATTTGCTAGGAGGGAAACCGGTGAGAGTGTGAGCTTAACTTCTCCTGGACCTGGAACTTCAACAGGGTTGGATAGAGATAGAAAGAAAGTGAAGGAAGTATTAGATACTTTCCACTTCCTCTGCAGGAAGTTGTTACATGCCGAGGGATCAAAGCTCAAAGGTGGTACTGGTAATGCCAAAAGAGTTGATTTTCTCGCCTCAAAAGAGCTTAAATCCAGAGGAATGTGTCTCAATGTCGGGAAGCATATCATTGGAGCTGTCCCAGGAGTTGTGATTGGCGACAAGTTTCAGTACAGGCTGGAGCTCAACATCATCGGCCTTCATCGCCCGACTCAAGGCGGGATCGATTATACGAAACATCGTCAGGGCATCGTAGCAACAAACATCGTGGCGTCGGGTGGATATGATGATAACGTGGATAACTCCGATGTGCTTGAGTATACAGGTCAAGGAGGGAACTCAACTAAAGAGAAGGAAGCTGAAGATCAGAAGCTTGAGAGAGGTAATCTTGCTTTGAAGACTAGCATCGCAGTGAAGAATCCCGTGAGGGTGATTCGTGGGACTAGCAGTACGAATGTTGATGCTAGAGGTAGGATTTATGTCTATGATGGTTTGTATACTGTGGAGGAGTATTGGCAGGAGACAGGACCTAACGGTAAGCTTGTGTTCAAGTTCCGGCTGGTTCGAATGCCAGGCCAGCAAGAGCTTGCTTGGAAAAAGGGAAAGAACTCATAGTGTGAGAGGCTTCATCCATGGTTGAGCATTCAGAGACGGATTCCACAGTAGATACGGAATGGATGATGAGCCAGCCAGCTAAAAGGGTAGTGTTCTCTATCTGTGAGTGTATGTTGGAGAGTACTTTTGAAGATAGCAAGGTGCCGTGAATAATCTAACATCGAGCAGTGACAAGCTTTTGGAGGCTCGAGGAAAGCGTTGGAGTTTGAATACGCGTGATGTACAGTCAAGTTGCAGGATTGGGGAGTTGATAACTTTTGATGCTGCCAATGTATACTAGGGAGGTTTACTATAACTTGGTTTTGCTCCCAAATAAATGGCCAGAATGTTGTAGTGTGATGGTAAGCGTTGTAGACGAGTGGGAGTGGGACTGAAGAACTGAGCCATGGTTTTTTTAGAGTTCCAGAGCTTGGTTCGTCTGTGCAATTTGTAGCTAACTTATGTATATAAGGTGACTGTGTCAACAAAACAATGTGTGAAAAGTTATTATCGGTCGATCAAGGTTCTCGTAAGGATTGGTAACCGCTTATATTCGGTCGGATCATCACGGATCATTACGATCTAATAAGAAGATTTCAATTAATCTTGTTGTTTATAGATGTTTATCTTTAATTTTGAACAATTTGTATTGATCATTTGCGGTTTGCTTGTATGTTCTAGATTGGTGTTTTTTGTATGAATAATTTGTATGAGAAAATTGATGTTAAATTTTTATTTTGAAAGAAATTTGTTATTGTAAATTTTTTACCACAAAAACCCATGGGTGCCCATGAACCCGCGAATACCCAGCAGGTTGGGTTGGGTTTGAGTTTTTCAAACCCAACAAATTTTACCCCGGATTTTTTTGGCGGATAAATCCATGAATTTGGGTTTCACAAAACCCGCCCCAACCCGACCCATTGCCGTCCTTACAGTCAAACATGAAACTAAAGCCCTCTTCTTTAGAACCACATTATCATCTTCATCCCTTTTTTCTTAACATTTAACCTGAATCCAAGACAAGAAAATGGCCAGAAACCCATCACCATTTCCCTGCTTTCTCCTCAAAGTCTCAGTATTTAACCTCCTTTTCTCACTCTAATCAGTGATCAGCTTATTATGCCTCCATTCCACCTTCTTTACTCAACATTGTAGCTCAATAGTCCCACCTCTCCCAACCAAACCAGAGCTAACCACGATCCCTTTCCATCCAGGCCAGGACGGCTACCACACCAGTGGAGATTGGATTCCCAATCTCTCAAGAAAAGCATAACTCTTGTGTTTTATTATTTGTATATTGATTCGGGAGCCCGAAAAATCTTCCTCTTCAGATTTCACCACGTCCACAGAACAGAGTCTCTTGAAGTCTACAAAATCAGGATCGACTTGGTCCTCCAAACTTCAGTGATGAGTTACTGCGGAAAATACCACCTCTTTTAGCTATTCGTAGAGCCTGTTAACTTTCTTTTTTGTTTCATGTTTTATGTTTTCTATTTCATAAATCTAGCAATGGAAACGAGAAACCTTGTTCATTTTTTTCATTTTATTTTCTGTTCATTGGCAACTCTGGAAACATAAATTGATAGCTTCATGCGGTTTCCAGAAACATAGTACAATCTTGGTTAATTTATGTAGACCTTGTCACGTAGAAGCATAGTACAATCTATATAATGCATTCATGCTCCATATGCTAGAATATTATAGTCACATACATATTATGTACCTTTTAGTAAGCGTTTCTCTTTTTAACACAAGAGATCTTGGTTAAGTGTTACCGTTACAAATCGTTGCCAGTTGTATAAAATGGTTGATTACTACGATCGATTATACTTAGTTCAATGATCATGGTTTCGCGTTAGCTGTCTGACTAGATATTTCAGCTATTATGTAGATGTGATGGTAACAGTTGTGGTGGTAATGTTCTTACTCCAAGCCACAACTCTCTAAGTTTGTCATTGAGCACGTCTGATTACGACCATTCTTTTAGTTAAAATTGAAAATAACAGGCATCGATATGCCGAAAATAATGGGATGCTTAAAGGCCTATTAGATCTCTTGCCTACCCTAGTTGTAATTAGTGACAGAGTCTGAACTTCAAAGTACACGTGTCCTTTTTTCATAATATAAATATATAAATAAATAAATATTATTTAATAAATATAATTAAAATTGTACTTTCATTACTTGTTGAGGAAAGGAGGTGGCTCATGGCTCGGGCGGTATGCTACTTGGAGAAATTCGGTTGGTTGTGCTTGCTTTTTATGCTTCTTGTACTTTTACTCTCCTCGATTATAACAGGATCCTCCATTTAGTTGCTCAAAAGACCTTCTCATCGACAGTTCGACTATTATCAATTGTCGTGTTTGGTTGTGTGATCCTTTGTGACTATCTAACTGAAACTTTTATCTATGGAAAAAAACTAATAGTATCCAATTAATCCTTTCATAGATAAAAGAATAAACGACTAAAACAATCAATATTTCATTAAAAAACCACGATGTATTTTTATTTTATGAAGAACCACAAAAATACATTTGCTATTTACACTCTTAAGTCTCTTTCAATGTATCCCTCTAAACAATTATTAGCAAATTGGTCGTCAATTCAACTTTGAAATTTGTTTTTAATATAACTTAAAGCTAAAAAAACTATTTCTACACTTGTAGTTGCAACTCATAGATACAAACTAGTTTCAAAATCAAATAAATGGATTGACATTACTAATGCATTTTTGTCTCAAACATTATTCGAGATAATTTAACAATTCTTTTCAATCCAACAAATCTATCATCAACCATAATATCTCTTAGAGAGAAAGAAGACAGGATTGCTGATTTATTTCAATTAGATCATTTGTAGTATAATAAATTAATTGTGTCAATCTAAGAACAAAAATAGAAGAGTTGTAGTGCAGTGGCAAAACACTCTTAAACATCCTCATGGTGGCGAGTTCCAATCTCTAGCATAAGCATAGAACAGAGTATAAATAAATTTTCCTTCAAAACTTACCTGTGTCTCGTGGCTATGCCAAACCAGGTTGGCTCCGCCTATGTTTGTAATAATGACATAGGTTCAGATAAGAATAATTTGAAGAATAAGCTTTTAGAAGGAGCATAGTAAAAAGTTGAACTTGCATACAATAGCTTGACAACAGAATGGTGTTATGGTGTACTTGTGTTGGATTGAGTTAATTATGGATTAAGATTTATGTTAAATTATTTTTATTCTATGATAACAGCTTTTAAAAAGAACACATACTTATGTAGGAAACAATCCACAAAATGCACAATTGAAAAAAAGGAGGAGATCTTCCGTTGGTTAGGTTAGCGATATTATTATTTTGATATAACATTGCCAAATCACTTGTTTAACTATTATTGGGTCAACCGACAAAATAACAGAGAATCAACTATACAGTTAACCCAATAAATCACTTGTATAACAAGTACAATTAACAATAAATTTAAAATATTTAACGGTTTACCGAGAACCAGCTAAACAAAGTCCTAATTTTATACGAGCGGAGCTACAACATGTTTTAGGAGCCCGCGGCCCGACCTCCACATTCGAGTCGGGAGAACGAATAGATTTGGATCCGGTTCAACCCGGTGGGTACTTAGTTTCCCGCGGATCGACCAAGCCGCTGCCCAGTGCCCACCCTTAACTCCGGCGACTGGTGGTCGCAGCTTTCCCTCTCCGGATTCTCATATCTTCTTCTCCCTCAGTAAGAATAATGTCTTCTTTGCCGAGAAAGCGCCCAAAACAGCGCTCGAATCCCCTATTCCGGTCGAAAGTACTCTCTCCTTCTATCATGGAACCACCAGGATTCTTGTTGCCTTCAAGGCACGAGCTTTTCAGACTCCTCGTTGTAGCGGGCATCGCGTCTTCCGTGGCTTTCACCTGCAACCTAATTGCCAATTTCTTCAGTCCAACCTCGCAAAACCCTTTTTGCGATAGCAATAATATGGGCTCCCCTGATGATTTTCTTCTCTCAGGTCAGAACTTGGAATGGGTAGTAAAAAGTTTTAGGGCTTCACTGCTCTTATTTGTTATTCTGAATGTGCTTCCTGGGGCTGAATTAGTTGAATTCTTCTCCTGTTCTAGCTAGCCATTGAGGTGATTCTGAAGCTAAGCATGCTTGGCTTAGTAACTGTTTGTTTTATCATGCTCAAGCTATGGAGTAGTAGTTTGATTGATTCAGTGGCTTCTAGGGATTTCCTCTCTGTATAGCTTCATGAGAAGGTGGTAGGGACCTCTACTAATTATATTTGATTGAGTGGTTTTCAGATGCCTGCAAGCCATGTCCAATGAATGGAGAGTGTCATGAAGGCAAGTTAGTCTGTGATGATGGTTACAGGAGGAATGGGAATCTGTGTGCAGAAGATGGAGACAGTAACGAAAGAGCTAAGAAACTTGTTCGTTCTAAGATTCTTATTCACTCTGGTACACTAGTCAACGCACGTTAATGGATAATATACACTTCAACATCTGGCATATGTTGCTAATCATTCGATTGACTGGCTTCGAACTACAGGCTGAGCTAGTTGAAAGCTATGTTTGTCAATCCTATGCTCAATTTTCGTGCCATGGAAGGGGGAGAATATGGGTATGTTAAACCAGGCAACGGTGTGAAGCTTAGTACACAATACTTTTTTTACTCTGTCTTCAAATATTGGACCATGAGTTCTTAGAGCCCAGCAATCTGTATATATGTATTCCAGGTCGAAGAGAATGAAATGTGGGAAGATGTGAAACACCAAGTGGTACAGATTTTCAGCTCAGATGATGCCAGTTACATGTATGCAAAAAACAAAGCAATGGAGATAATTGATCGAACATTGGAGAAAAACACCAATCCTGAAGGGTATATTATTCTTACTTCAGCTTAAGTCGTAAGTCTAGTTAAGCTTGAGTACTTCTCTATTCACTACTGCTGATGTTTTGTCATTCTAGGATTACGGAGTTGAAGTGCCCCAGTGTTTTGGCAGAACGATACAAACCAGTTAGTTGTCGTGTTCGCCAATGGATCTTTGAGCATGCTTTTGTCATAGTGCCAGTTTGTGCAATGGTAATTGAACTTTTTATTCAAGGTTTTGCTTCAGATGCTGCTGCTCAGTTTTGAACCTACCTTACAGTATTGAAAACTGCAGGTTGTTGCATTGACATGGTTACTCTGGAAAATCCGTCAGAGTTATTATCTGTCAACCAGAGGAGATGAATTTTATCATCAGGTAGGGCTTCTAAGTGACTTATTTCCTTTTGAGATCTTTTGATTGATAATACTGTTTCTTGTTCTTCATCCAGCTATCTGGAGCATCTTTTGTGTTTTTGCTTGGTAGATGAACTATCTTTGATCTGAACATCAAACCATAGTTACAGCTGAAGTACTTGTAAGAGTGGATAGATCATGGGAATAGTGTATCATGATGGAAAATGATTATCTTTTATTCCCTCAGATGACTCATAAGTGGACCTGAACACCATCATTTCGATTGTCCATTTTAGCTAGCTCCCTTGAACTTGGATAATTTGTTGGCATCTGTTAAAAACAAAAATTGTGCTCTATGTCTCATTGAACTACTTAGTCGAACAAGCTTCCTATGTCGATTTGGCTATGTGATCTCAGGAAAGGAAAACTAACATTATATGTCATGCTTGATGCTTCTGTAAGGTATGTGACATGCTTGAGGAGATTGCCATTGAATCCAAAAAAGAAAGTGGCCAATTTGAACCTTGGGTGGTAGCTTCCCTGTTACGGGATCATCTGTTATTGCCCAAAGAGAGGAAAAACCCTTTGTTGTGGAAAAAGGCAAGCTTCTTATCCTTGTTTACCTCACAGTAGCTTGGCTAGCGATCTCCATGTAAGCAAAGCCATGACTATCTTCCATGTGATCATAATTGATAGGGGTTTTCTGCTAGTCCAACAGTTCAGGACATTGATAACCTCTCACTTAAATTTTAGTGTTCTTAGTTTTGTCATGGTTCTCTTCCAAGGATAATATGTAATTATTGAAATTTTAGGTTGAGGAGTTGGTACAGGAGGATTCTCGAATAGACCGATACCCTAAGCTTGTGAAGGGTGAATCAAAGGTGGTATGGGAATGGCAAGGTATAAAAGCTGCACAGTTTCTTTCTTTATATCGTTTTATTTTCTACATTGGCTCTTTGGTGACTGAACTAGGAAATTCTTCATCTTCATGTACACTCTTATTTCATCGTGGTGAATAATTTTGTGCTATGAAATGTCAAAACCACATCCTGAGGCATGGGAAATTTTGTGGGAAACGAATCTGACACAGTAGTCTTCTCTTTCATTTTCTTTTGCAGTGGAAGGGAGTTTGAGCTCTGCAGGGAAGAGAACCAAAAACGCAACAGTAACCAAACTAAACCCTGATAAACAAACCCACACTTCCAAATCTGGTAAGCTTTTGAGAGTGATTGTTGCAAAACCCAACCGCCTTTCTTTCTGGTTACAGTTAGTTTGTAACTCACATCTGTTAAGGTAAACTGGTTTTGATTTCCTTTTACAGGGCCGAAGCTAGGGCTGATGTTCTGACGAACCAGTGGCATTTCCTCCTGTAGTTGTTACTTCCGCAGGAAGCATGTTTCCGAGTCCTCTGACAGTGTAGATACGTTGGCGTTGAAGTTGTCTCCGCATGCCCCCCGACCTACGAATTCCCTCCGTTGTTGTTCAGTTGTGTTAGAGGGTAGATAGGCCGTCAGCAAGCGAACAGGGAATGATGAGACAGGAGTTCCTTTGTTACATGGCGACAATGGTATATAGTTAATAGGTTACTGATACTCATTTCCTTGTTTAAGGGGGGTGATTAGATGCATCTAAGTGTAACTTGCCCAACATTTTTTTCTTACATCCCTTGTTGTATGTAGTGTTTCTTTGTTCTGTTGATATAAATCATCTTGCATTCATTCGTGAGAAAGACCAAAAAACCAAACAGAGAAACTTAATTGAACAATTTGGCTGTCTCAGTTTGCTATCAACGCTTGTATCGTCATTGACAAGTAAATTGACCACAGCGAGGGTGGAAGGAAGAGTTGAGCTTCTAAATCATACTTGGCGTGCAAACAATCATTGGCAAGGAAGGCGAGTTCATTTGCTCTGGGATGGGTTTACATTGAAAATAATGCATCCATGTCCCAAAGCATGAAGCATGCGGGTCACTTACAATTTCTCATATTATCTCATTAGTTCCTTTTTATGAAAAAATTATTTGGACAGTAGATGGAATTGATGCTCATTGGTCCATCATCGGACCAAATTGTTACATAATTCATCAGTATTTTGTCAGGAGACAAGAGGGCTATGAGCGCATCGGGAGAAGTTCGTGGCCACAAGATCGCGTGTGAGAAGTTCATGGTCGCGAAATGAGAAGGTCGTCGTCACAAGACGAGAAGACCATGACAGTGAGGTGAGAGGGTCATGGCCGTGAGACATCCATGGTTGTATCGCGATGGTCCATGCTCACAATGCAAGAGGGGATCGTGAGTTGAGAGGTCCGTGGTTGCGTCGTGAGACGACCACCTAGTATAGGGAAACACAATAAGTCATGAAAGATGACCACACGGTCACCTCAAAGCAGGGGCGGACGCAGGGCAGGACACCCCTAAATTTTGAGGGGGTCTGCCACGGCCTCAAGGTGGACATTCGATAGTAGGTCATGGCCATGTCTCTAGATGATCATGGGCCTTTCGCCAGGATTACATGAGAGGGAATCAAGTTGCGTACCAAGACTTCGACAACAATAAGAAGGAGACACATAGGCGGTTGAGGAAGCAATTGCCACTCATCCCACATTCGAAGACACTTTAGCCACATCCCAGGAAGAGTGGAGTAGTTCTATGTAGGAGTTACCAAGCTGAAAGTTTTCTGTGAGGGTTACCACCTCATTGCTATAATAGGAGAGGAGGTCGACATAGAAAAAGGTTCTCAAATCAAACACCCGACATCTATGTCAAGGTTTGTTGTTTCTTTACAAAATAGTTGTAATCGTAGTTTGAAACTCTCACCAAACCTCCATAAGAATAAGATCAACGTATTATAGTTCTGTTCCTAGAAAACCATCACAAATCAAACACTCTTATTTAAACCGTATTCAAATAAATATCAACCATATCTTAATAATGGGATGAGATACGGTGACAACCCCATTAGGGGTTGTGAGATTGACAACCCATTTTATAACCATAGGATCCATTCTCTCTCTTGTCTCTTTCTTCTTTTTTCAAATCAATGGTACAGATTGGATTAAGGGTATTTTTGGACGAAAAAAATTGACCACACTAGATTATTACTCCTATTAATATCTAAAACCCTACACTCTCTCTTTCCTCTCTCTCTCTCTCTCTCTCTCTCTCTCTCTCTCTCTCACGCCATCTTTCTTCTTCCTATTCTTCTTCTTCTTCCTCTCATCTCTTCCCTCTCTCTCTATCGGCTGCCACCACCGTCGTCGCAGTCGACCCGCCACGCCCTCCGCCTCTCATCACTACTGCAGCCCTCCCGTCGTCGCGCCCTCCGCCTCCCAACACTGTCACGTCCCTCGCCCCGCAGCCATCGCGGCCTCCTCCTCTCACCACCGCCGCGATGGCCTCCCACCACCACCGTCGTCGCAACCCTCCCGCCGCCCTCTGTCTCTCACCATCACCGTCGCCACGAGGTCACCGCCTCTCCCCTGCCTCCCCCTTTCGTCATCCCTATTTATTTCCAGATCTGTGATTTTTCATATTTCAGATTTGATTTTTTTGTGCTAGTCTCTAGTGGTACGCTATCAGTGGCAATGGTACCGCTACCAGTGGTACTGGTACTGGTACCGCTACTGCTAATGGTACCGCTACCAGTGGTAATGGTACCGTACCACTAGCACTGGTAGCGTACCACTAGTATTGGTAGCATACCACTAGCACTGGTAGCGTACCACTAGCACTGGTACATTTTTTAACGCACTAGTATCGTACCACTAGCACTGGTATATTAATTACCAATAGACTAATAGATTGATACACTTTTTAACGCACTGGTACATTTTTCAGGTTGCCGGAGGGAGTCTGCCGGAGAGAATTCGCCAGAGAAAAAGTCTGTCCATCGAAGCGGAATGACCGCAGGAGAAAGGAAGAGAGAGATAGAGATATTAATGTATATGATTTAAATTTAAAAAAAAATTATATTTAATATGGGTTTTTAATTCCCAATTTGATTAATACAAAAAGGTAATTAATATATTTCTTTTTTTCATACCCAAAATACTCTTGATTGTCAATCTAACAACCCCCAAGGGGGTTGTCACCGTATCCGTCTCAATTTTGCATGTTAAGTTGTTAACTAATTAACCTGCTCAAGGCGGCTAAGGGTGTCGGCAGAACAAGGGTTGGATAGGAACATCCCCATCCTCTCCACGTACGGAATGGGAAGAGTGACCCACAAAATGACTCCCAAACCCCCCAATTTCCATGCGTTTCCTTTTCAAATGTAAAACCCTCCTTTGAGCAACTTCAAAAATTAATGTATGATTGTTTCTTCGTTACTAGCTACAAAATGGAGGATTGAGGTACAAGTGAGGCCCGCATAATATTTAAGGAGATCACATCGAAACCATAAAATTTGTTAGGTGATTTGGGGTACAAGTTTAACTGTTTAAGGTGTTAAAAGAAAGATAAATCGGTGTGTCAATATTCACATATCAAAATCGAGCGAGGAAGATGATTGATCATAACAAACTGAAATTCAGATAAACCCACTTATATCAAATTAGAATGAAAGTTAGAATTTCTTCCATAAAAGAGCGTGATAAAAGTTTCCACTATAATTATTGATAAATAAATAAAAATGTAGATTTTCCCGCGAGTCATTAAATGTATACTTTCAAAAGATAAACTAACATAAATTCACATGTGATATATTAAAAGTAAAGTTGTCAACCCGCGGGTTGACTCCTCGGTTGATCCATTTTGACTCTGGTCCGGTGAGAAAAACGGGCCACACACATTCGTCGGGTCGAACTGTTGCAATTTTATCGGGTTGGAGGTCCCACGACGTCTTTTTTTCCTATTGTTTGCAAAATGCCTCAAATTTTTTTTTTTTTTTGGCCTCTCTTTTCCGATTTTCCTTTTTGCCTAACCCTATCTTTAGAATTCTAACTTGAATGTTTAAATATTGATGTTATATAAGTGTGTGAATTTTAATTATATGTTGGATCCAAGTACAACCTATTATTATGGATTAATATTATATGTTGGATCTAAGTAATTAAATGAGATTTGATATAATTTATAAATATATATGAACAATATACTAACCATTTTTATATATCCAAGCTAAACCAGACCAAACCGATAATACCATTAACTCTCAATCCACCTACTTGACAGGGCGAAGAGGCTAAACCGGGTTGACAACCTTTTAATTAAAAATAAACAAAATGACTCATGAGGCGAATGCAGCAGGTTGGATATCGGGGTTTTGTATGGATGAAGAGGGAAGAAGAGGGGAAGTTTTTCAGATTCTGTTTGCGGACGATGCTATTTTATTTTGTGATGCTTCGGAGCAGGAAGTTTCCAATTTGTTGGCTATCCTTCTGTGTTTCCAAAGCGTTTCAGGTTTGAAGATTAATTTGGAAAAGAGTAAGCTTTTTCCAGTTGGGGATGTGCCCCCATTTGGAGAGATTGGCGGATCTATTGTGTTGTGATTGGGAGTTCCTTCCAACCGTCTATTTGGGCCTGCCGCTTGGTGCTTCGCCGGTTGCTGGCAGCATTTGGAATCCTTTAATCTCTCGGATGCAGGCTAGACTCGAGGGTTGGAAAGGAAAATTCTTATCGTTTGGTGGCAGGTTAGTGCTTATTAAATCGGTTATGGCAAGCCAACCGACTTATATGTGCTCCCTGTTCAGGGCTCCTGCTCATATTGTTCAGGCCATTGAGAGATTACAGAGTTCTTTCCTTTGGTCGGGAGCTAACGATCAAAAGAAGTTTCATTTGGTGTCTTGGGAACGATGTAAACGACCTAAATCGCTTGGTGGACTTGGTATTCCGGATTTCAGAAGGCATAATAGTGCTTTGCTTGCAAAATGGTGGTGGAAGGTTGCTTCGGAGGACAGCTGGTGGAAAAGATTGATGAGTGTTAAATATCCAAATAATGAATCGAAGTGGATGCCGGGTAAACCCCTCTCTCCGGTGGGTTGTAGTCCTTGGTCACAGGTGTTCAAAATGAAAGATGAGTTCTGGAAGTTTGCAATTGTTAAACCTGGTTCAGGCGACAACATCTCTTTCTGGAATGACCGGTGGATTCATGGAACTACTCTTGTTGATGCCTTTCCTAGAGGAGCGGCGGCTGCTGTTCTTCCCCGAGCAAGATTATCTGATATCCTTTTGAGAGTTAATGAGAGTTTTTCTTGGGATATTGAATTTAAATACCAACTTAGGGGGGGAGCTGAGAGGGAAAGGGAGAGTCTGTTTTCTTTTATCAATAGCAATTTACCTTTGCTTTCCTCTGACCAGGACATGATTAGTTGGCTGCCTACCTCGTCACACTCCTTCACTGTTCGTTCTTTGTACCAGCAGCTCTCTAAAGAGGCTGTTGCTTGTCTTTTGACGGCTGGCCAGATTGATGACTTTCCTGTTAAGACCGTTTGGCAGAACCACATCCCCTCGAAGATTTGTATGTTTGTTTGGTTGACATTTCATCGTAGAATTCTTACTCAGGATGCTCTAAAACGTAAGGGATGGAGCTTGCCGAACAGGTGCTCTCTGTGCATTGCAAATGAAGAGGAGCCGAACCATCTTTTCCTTCATTGCAGGTTCACTGAGGAAGTCTGGAGTATCATTAGTCACTTTGTCTACTTTGATCACAGGATAATCCGTAGGGATATCTCTGACCTGATCAAGAGCTGGCCCCTTCTTGATCCTCAGAACCCGAAAGACTGGTGCACGAGATCATTTCTGCATGCTCTACTTTGGTGTGTTTGGATCGAGCGGAATAATAGGATCTTTGCAGAGAAGTTTTCGAGTCCATCGGTTGTCTCCTTCAAGATTGGAAGTCTAATAGCTTCATGGTTGGTGGCTGCTGGTAAAATCGACAAGTCTTGCGGGGAGGATTGGATTCATAATCTCAGAAGGGCTCTCCTTCCCAGAAGTTTCTTGTAGCCGTACTCAGAAGGGTTACCACCTTGGTGCTTGCTTTGCTTTGCTGAACTGCCACCTTGGCGCTTGCTTTGCTGATGTGTTTTGGCTTGTTTGGGTTTTCTGAAGCTTTGTATTGTGCTTCGCTTTCAAATGTTGGTTCTTTCCTTCCTTTCTTTCTTTCTTTCTTTCTTTCTTGTCTTTCCCTGGTTTTGTTAACTCTTAACTCTTTTCTTAATTAATGAATTTCACCTTTATAAAAAAAAAAAAAAAAATGACTCGATAAATTTCCAAAACAAAATTGCTGGGATTTTGACAGTCCAAACTATCTCCAGAAAATTTTTAATAGCGGAAGACTCGCAGAAAGGGGAAACAGTAAAAACCCGAGTGATTACCAATGATAATACCGGAAGACTCCGAATCCACCGCGTTTACGCCACCGCCATCAACCCATCACCAAGCAATCAAAGCAGCCATTCCCGTTCTGTCTTCCATTCCCCTCTCCTCCCATTTATTTATTCATTCATTCACTCGTTTCCTTTACTTCGCCTCTCTCAGCTTGGCTTGCTCGCTTTCATATTTGCCCTTTTTAAAACGACCAGTTCGCTTTCATGATCCTTCACTCCACTTACTAATCTCGCACTTACTCTCTGCTTGCCTGCTGCTCAAACTAGTGCAGAAAGGGGAAAGACCCCAGCTTTCAGGTTCGATTCATTTAATTTTGCAGCTGGAGCTCAATTCCATTTTTAGTCCATTTTGCAGCTGAGTAGTTGGTGTTCATTTATCACTTGGGCTTTCTTTCATTCATGCTATATGCTTCTTCCTCTTGTTCGTGTAGTTCTGTCATTTGGCTTGTTCAGCTAAACTTGAAAAAAGATTTCACCTTTTGGTTCCAGAATTGGATCTGAAACTTGGGTTGTGATCCACATTGGATTTCCTATCAACTTCCCCCTTTAGTTCGTTATCTACTAGCTCTCTTTCTTCATTGGGTTTCTTTCTTCTCTGAATTCGATTCTTAAATCTGATTAGGGGATCTAAATTCTCATTAGTTTGATGTTGCTAAGGTCGGTTGCTCGTTCTTTCAATTGATCCCAGAATTTAACTGCAGATTCTGTAGTGTTTCCGGAAGTTATTGTTAACAGCCATTAGGGAATCACTTCCAAGGTTGTTGTTCTCCGTAACTTGAGGTGGTCGGTCTAACTAATTTCATTAAAAAATGGGATCACTGAGAATTTGACTTCAGAGTCAACAAGGATTCAATGTAGATCACGTCCTAACTACTCTCCAGATTTAGGATCTATATTTTACGTTCATTTCTCATAAATAACAACAGATATCTTGTTCTGATTCATATATATGGCTTTACATATCTGGTATTTACTTCACAGTTATTACTCCTGTGTAGCTTCATAGCTATCTACCATGCAAATTTCGATCTACTAACTAGCACTTGCAACATCTTCTGCTTCAGGGGAGTTCCCAAAACTAATACAATGGGCATCAAGGACAATCCGAATGGGATCAGATCACGAAGTCCGATATCGATATTCCTTGTCATGTGCTTGTGCTGTTTCTTTTACCTCTTGGGGACATGGCAGAGAAGTGGGTTTGGGAAAGGAGACACCATAGCCAGGGAGATAGCTCAACAAGAAGACTGTGACGTTGTAAAAAATCTGAACTTTGACTCGCATCACAGCATCGAGATAGTGGAGCAGTCCAAAGTCGCGGGCAAGGTGTACAAGCCGTGTGATGTTAAGTACACGGACTACACACCTTGTCAGGAGCAAGACCGGGCGATGAAGTTCCCAAGGGAGAATATGGCGTACAGGGAGAGGCACTGTCCTCCAGAAGAGGAGAAATTGCGCTGCCTAGTACCTGCTCCCAAGGGATACACCACACCATTTCCATGGCCAAAGAGTCGTGACTACGTGTACTATGCTAATGTTCCGTTTAAGAGCTTGACTGTTGAGAAAGCTAATCAGAACTGGGTCGAGTATCAGGGCAACGTGTTCAAGTTTCCAGGAGGTGGGACCATGTTTCCACAGGGCGCTGATGCATACATCGATGAGCTAGCTTCGGTTATACCGATAGCAGATGGCTCGGTTAGAACAGCACTCGATACTGGATGTGGGGTAATGAAGTTCTGTACTGTGTGGTCATATTTGGATTGCTTGTGTTAAAAATCCTTTGTTTATTCATCCGAACGCCCTCTGTGATTGCTTGTTCTTTAGGTTGCAAGCTGGGGAGCTTATATGCTGAAGAGAAATGTGTTGCCTATGTCTTTTGCACCTCGCGATAATCATGAAGCACAAGTGCAATTTGCTTTGGAGAGAGGCGTGCCAGCTGTTATTGGAGTTCTTGGGACAATGCATCTTCCATACCCATCAAGAGCCTTTGATATGGCACAGTGCTCTAGATGTTTGATTCCATGGACGGCCAATGGTAAGTGTTTATGAAACCACTACTGGAATATTGGTTGTTTAACTTCCCGAGTTAGCATTTCCCAGGTCCTCTAGGCATTCAAAAGGGAGATAAAAGTTTATAATGATTCTTTTCAGCCTTATGAAAGTTGTATGGTGAAATATGGATTGCGTATGAAGAACCTGGTCACCGCTTAATGGTGAACATAAGATCCTATACTTAATATCATCTCTCAAGTCTGTGTTCTTACTTCCATTTCAATTTGGACTGTGCAAATATTATATCTGGAAAGCACTGTGGCACTGTTAGCTTTGTGATTTCAGTTTCTCTAGTCTACTACTTTTGCTCTCTCTTTCCTATCCTCTTCGTATTTTTTATAAAAGACCCCACGTCTTTTTCGTTTAATTCCTATCAATTTTCATGGTTCATACTCATTATTGGTACCATGACTTCCTTTGCAGAGGGAATCTATTTGATGGAAGTTGATCGAGTTCTTAGACCAGGAGGATACTGGGTCCTTTCTGGTCCTCCCATCAACTGGAAGACCTACTACAAGACGTGGAAACGAACTAAGCAGGATCTCCAGGCTGAGCAGAAGAGGATTGAAGATCTTGCTGAAAGCCTTTGCTGGGAGAAGAAGTACGAGAAGGGTGATGTTGCTATCTGGAGGAAAATGTCTAGTGATGAAAACTGCAGTAGCAAGAAGTCTGTCAACTTGTGTAATTCAGCGGACACTGATGATGTCTGGTAAGTTGAATGCACGTTTAGTACTTAGCAGTTAGCATGATTATGCAGGTGCTGTGTTACTGGTCTATAGCCATGGAGTTTTATCTACGTTGAAACTTAGACTTGCTATCTATCTTGAATTTTATTGGAGTGTCGACAATTTTGATATACCTTTTACTTTCTAGACTTGTTGGTCATGTCATTTGGTTTGACATGCTGGTAATTTCCAGGTACAAGGAAATGGAGAAGTGCAAAACCCCTTACCCTGAAACTGGAGGTGCTGCCGAGCTAAAGAAGTTCCCTGAGAGGCTATTTGCAGTGCCTTCCCGCGTATCAGATGGGCTCGTGGATGGAGTAACAGCAGAGTCTTATCTAGAGGACAATCAACTCTGGAAGAAGCGTGTAAAGGGTTACAAGAGAATCAATAGGTTGATTGGCACAGGAAGGTACAGGAATGTGATGGACATGAATGCTGGGCTCGGTGGATTCGCAGCAGCACTTGAATCGCCCAAATCCTGGGTGATGAATGTCGTGCCTACGATCCAGAAGAACACTTTGGGTGCTGTTTATGAACGAGGGTTGATTGGAATATATCACGACTGGTACGTGTGATTCTGAATCTTTCTACACCTATGTCTTTGCTTGTTCATGTTGCCGTCTGATTAAATTCATGTGCTCTCTTTTTATCAGGTGTGAGGGATTTTCGACATACCCAAGGACGTACGATCTTATTCATGCCGACCACTTGTTTAGCTTGTACAAGAACAAGTAAGCGCGATTGTGTCTACTTCTTTGCTCTTACTTCTAAACATAGTTTCCATTTCCTTACCAAAAAGTTGAAATGGCCCTTGATTTCCATTCTTCGGTATCAATTGAGAAAGCTATGAATTCATTTTGGCCAATTCCTAAACCAATTCAGCGGCTTCCGTTGTAAGATTGTGCTTGGCATAATGAATTGCATCTTACATTAAAAATGAATTTCTTACAACTCGAATTGTGTAGGAATCATTAAACATACAACCTGCTACGACTTCTCCATGTCAATACCACTACTTGAATTGAACTCACAACTCTTAAACAAGTACTTGATCAACTGTGTGCCAACCTGTGGGTGTTAACAACAGGTGCAATCTTGAAGACATACTTCTGGAAATGGATCGAATCCTGCGGCCAGAAGGCACAGTATTGGTAAGAGACGAGGTCGATGTGCTGAACGAGGTGATGAGCATTAGCAACGGCATGAGATGGGATACGAGAATGCTGGATCATGAAGATGGCCCCCTTGTCCCCGAGAAAATACTGGTTGGTGTCAAACAGTACTGGGTTGGCAGCTCCAGTAACAACAGCACAGAACCTGACGAACAATAGGCCATCAAAGACGAGGAGGATTGAAGAAGCATAAACTGCTGTGTGAATCTGAAAAGACCGAACTTCGATTCAAAAGAAAGAAAGTAGGTTCCACGAAATTGTTAAGAAATGCCAGAATGCAGGATGCTTAGCAGTGATTCAACTGGTATGGAAGCAGCATGATGCAGAAGGGGGGAAAAAGTGAAAACCCTTCATGGGTGGCAATTCATAGTTAATTTATTCCATTGTTTGATTTTATATATGCAGTAGATGTGATTTGGGAACTATGTTGGATACAATTTAGACATCGATATTGATTTGCCTGAATGTTGTCTTAGTGGTAGCTGCCCAAAATGGGGTTAGCATCAATCATGAAAGCTCTGAATTTTCTTCATCTATGTCTGCTCCGAGTCTGAAGTGCCCATATATTTTCTTCATACTCATCGTCGAATGATGTTATTCTAGCAACGAAGAATAAGAAGCCTTTCTACCAAAAAAGAAGAATAAGAAGCCAACTGGAGAGGTTGAGCTGGCAATTTGTGGGTCCCACTTTGGTTCCATTAAAGCATCTGGATTGGACCAATTAACCCCACGGGATGCCATCGGCTGCATGTGACTTGCTTTCATGGTGCAGTCCACTCAGTCGGTGGTCGATCACTAAATATAAAGTGAAAGCTAGTTAGTTGTTAAGGACCCTTAAAAAAAAGCACTTAAAGCTTTTTAATGGTAGTTTCCGTACAAGTAGGTTGGAACTATTTGGGATATACGTAATATTGTATCGAATTTATTACGATTTGTTATTATCGAATACAGGCTTATTTTTGTAGGGATTGAGATTGAAATTTATTGTATCGAATTTATTACGATTTGTTATTATCGAATACAGGCTTATTTTTGTAGGGATTGAGATTGAAATTCATTTTTGAGTGCTATTCGTTATTTGGGATTACGGGATTGGGATCGATATATACCGTAATGCCGAGAAACACTACAAATTAAAAATTAATGAAATATAATACACAACCTTTGGTCATTCCTCACTCTTTCACAACTTATAAGCCTCCATCCAACTCAATTTTGACTTTCCAGTTTAAGTCACTCTCATCTCTCACCTAATCTCTTGTTATTTTCATAACACTAAAGAGCAAACACTAGTATGAGTTGTCTCTCAATCATAAATTCGTCAAATTAAAGATTATCAATGACAAGAATTTGAGATGACACCTCTCTAGTCTCTTCCATTCTCATTATCCCTATCATAGCTCTAGGCAAACTCAAGACTCTTTGCCCTAAATTAAATAATTAAGTTGAATTTATATATTTAATTAATAATTGCATAGGCAATTAATTTCTTATTCGATAACACCGATAGGGATACCGAAGTACCGATTGGGATACCAAAATATTTAGGGATTGAGATAGCGAAATTATTTAGGGACTGTGATTGATTTTAGGGAGTAATTTGGTATTCAAAATTTTGGTATTTGGTATTGGGACACCGATATCGTACCAATTTTCACCCTTACTGACAAGAGTCCTTAAAAATTTAATAATGCTAAAACCTTTTTATTTAATGAACTTTAAACTGATTATGTTCTTAAGTATAAATTAATTAACACTGATGAGAGTATGAGATTCTAAGTTTGAGCGATCATGCTAAACTCACGTGTTTAATGAATTTTCCTATCTCATTTTTGTCACTGATTACGATTATATTAGTTCAATCAAGATGAAAAATTATTCGAAGGAATAGTATGATAACAAGTGGTAATCGTCTCGCAATGAATAAAATTTGATCGATGATTCGACCATTGAGCTACACATTCATGTAGCATTTTCTAGTGGAACATCAGTGAAGGGTTAGTAACTCCATTAGTCTAATATATAAAGATGAAGGTATCATAAAAATTATTTACCTATGCAAAATTAGTTGTCTCGAGTTGATTTTTAACGTATTTTTACATTGATATAATAACTCAATACTATACGGTTTTACATAATAGAGAAATAAATGTAAAAGGTTGCTTGAAAAGGAGCTCATTAACACAGATGGGCAGGGCAGACCTAAGAGGAAGGATAACTTAAAGACATCACTTACACCATCAATTGTGACAAGAAAGAAACCTCTAGAAGTTTAGTTTTTTTTTTTTTTTTTTACAAAGTTGAAGTTTAGTTCAATGTTGATTTGAATGAATGCTTCACATCTTTTTCACCCATCTTTCAATGAAAATGGTGGAAGAAAAACTGCTATAAAGAGGTAGAAGTAGAACACAACAAATAATGTCACAAGAATTTTGAGCCCAACATATATATGGAAGAGAAAGCAAAAGTCACTTATAATTGTTTGATGACAAAGTATAATGGGTGGTGACACTTATTAGGTTATGGAGTCAAGTCATGAACATACCATTCCACCACCACCCAAAAAAAAAAAGTACACAAGAAATGAACAAAATTATAGCCAAAAGAGAAAATAATGTCAAACTCCATTCCTGAAAATAATCAAACCCTAATTACTACCATCAAGTTCTTGCTTCAACTTCCACAATGATACATCTTTGTCTCAAATCCACTGTCCCAAAACCAACTTTTTCCTTCTTCTGCTCTACCATACGTCACTTTCCTGTTCCATGTGTCGCCATTTTCATCTTTCAAAACCATGATTTAGAATCTCTAATTAGAGGGCGGTTTTGCTAGTTGGGTTGTTAGAATGTGTGCATTTTGATGATACAAATATCTGAAGTTCTAGCGAGGTATATGATTATAAGGAGGTAAATCAGCTGGCCTACAGGACTGAAAGTTTGGTACCAGTATTTGGGATGTTATCGAATATAGTACTTAATTTGTTATTATTTTGTATTATCGGAATGTACGTATTATTTTATGGAATTGAGATTGAATTTTAAGTGTTATTTGATATTATGGATTATGAGATTGAGATCAGTATACACCGAAATATAAGTTAGTGTGTGTTTTATCTCTCTTAACTAGGCTCCCTCACTTACTACTACTACCATACCGTCAACCGTCAATATGGGCACTTAATTATGCATCGCACATTCCCTCGCTATTTGACAACCCATTCCAAGCTCATTTGGTTATTTGTTGTTATTGGGTTGTTGAGTCGTCCATTGTTTTAGTTTGTTATTATTATACTTGAGAATTTTTCTCATTTTTTTTTTTCACTCGTGTTGGCACCATTGTTTGTTTTTATATATTTCAAGAATAGTTTCTGGAGCAAGTATTTGCATTTTTATATTTGATTAGTAATTTTGAACAAAATTAATTTGATATTTGGTATAACCGACACCGAACAAATTTTTAAGGGATTGTGATTGGGTATACTGTATTTGTTTCGAGATTGTGATTGAAATTAGGATTAGACACTATTTAATATTTAATACTGAAACACCGATAGTGTACCGTTTTCCACCCATATACTCAGCTCATATGATATCGTACCTCTTCTTCATAGCCTGGTAGCTAGGTCTAATTATACAGACTAACACTAGGAGGAGGATTATTGATACTTCATTTTCTTGCTCCTCCATCGTGATTAGGCCTATCCATATTTATAGCGAGGACAATTATTTTGTGTTTTGGTGGGAAGTAAGGACAATTATTTTGACATACTGTATGACTCCAATTGTACTGTTGAAGGTGGAAAATAACCTTACTCAATGTTACCCTCTGAAAAATCTCTACTAAAAATTAAAGATTCCAACCACATACAAACAAGGATTCAGCCCAGTGATAATACCACTAGTCTAGATTCTGAAAATCTTGGGGGTCGTTTGGAAGTTGCGATAGTTTTGTTGAGATTGTCATTACGCATGTATTGTTTACAATGCATCGTTTTTTTGTTTTTTTAGTAGAAACAATATATAGATTGTTTCTGTGATGTGACAGAAACTATCACTCATTTTGAGTGATTGTTATATCTCAACTTTTAGTTGTGATTGTTGAGATAGTTGAGTTGAGATTGTTTTGTCTCAGCTTTTAGCTGATGCGACATACACAATCACACATACCAAACGTTGTATTCTACAGTGCATCAAATTCGACAATACATGTATAATATTATACATGCATTCTCAACAATACATCTATTTAACAATCGCAACTTCCAAACGACCAGATTCGAAATTCTCAAATAGTATCTTAATAATAAACTATTTATCACCCATATATATAAAAAAAAAACCACCTCTTTTTACCATTGTCACCATCATTCAAACCACCAAAAAACAAAAAAAAAACCATGGGTGTGGTGAGAAATCTGTGGGCTAAGAAGTAGTTACTATAATGACAAAAGTTGAAGCTCAGCTAGCTAAGCCAGGGTGAAACCTTTACCTCTCTCTCTCTCTCTCTCTCTCTCTCTCTCTCTCTCTCTCTCTCTCTCTCTCTGTTGTTCATGCACCTGGGAAACCCACAAAACAAAGTCTTTTTTGCTGCTATTATTTGAAGTTAGCTTTAGCTTTGCTGCATGCTGCTGCATATGTTGCTAATTGGGCCAGGTGGGTTAAAGTTCATGGCTGATTCTTCTGACTCTTACTACGCTCCAATGTCGCATTAATCTGTTCCTATCCATTACGCAGAGATACCAATGTTTGTTTCAATGTCGATGAATGTGGAGCATGATTTCGAAAACCTTTCATTTGATCCATTTATGGATCCCTGTTCTTGGTTGTCAGTTGGGTTTTTGCCATGCACGTGGCGGTTGGGGCGAAACCCAGTTCATTTTTCAGCAGATCAAACCATTGGAGGTCAAGTTTGGGGGAATAGGGTGTGTTGATGTGACTTGAATCGGACTATCATACTCCTCTGTAATCTCCAATCTCCTCGATATAGTGAAACTGGCTCTCTCTCGCATGTGGACGTAGCTAACACACATCGTGTTAGTGAACCACGTAAATCGTGTGTCTGTGTTTTTCGATTCTCGCTTTCGTATTCTTGCTTTATCGATTCCGGCGATTTCTCGATCCGTAGCAGCGCTTTTATAACAGGGTGAATGAAACTATAGCCAAACTACATATTCACATATTTTCCTCAAACAAAAAGAACTAGCTAGCTAGTAGGCCTAATTCATGCATTTGTATTCATAAATTTTGTCTTTATAACAATTATTAGATAAATTTCGGAGTTCTACCAAGTAAGTTTATTTAAAAAAATATTAAATATATGAGCGTATTGTAAATTATTTTTGCGTAAATTCAAAATGTATTTGTGGTTAATCGCTCAAACCGATATATAACTAGTCGTTCTCAGCAATCGATTATTAACTGGATCAGTTTTAACTTACTAAAAAAGATTCATAAAAAAAAAAAAAAAATCTTGGCAAAAGGAGATAGAACCGAGTTGGGCCTTTCATGTTTCAAATGCGATTCATGACAAACGAAAAGACTAATGATTACATAATTGTTTGGTTCATATGCAATCATAGTGCAACGGGAAAAGATTTTTGTGATGAAGAGCTTTTTAACTAATAATTAAATTGTAACGACGCATAGTATGTCTTTTTTTATAATATTCTTGCATCCATGAAAAAAAATACAAAATCTATCGATCATTTTCAAAGCATCAAAAAATATTGTGTGTTTTATCGTGTTAGTGAATTGTGATACCAATATTAAATCGATGATGAATTGAGTAAATAATGTACTAGTGATAGTGTCATAGTGAGAAAGTTATGTGTAGTAGTTTAAATTAACAGGGTTTTCTTTTTTCCTCTCAATATTTGGTTTGAGGTTATACATGGTATAATACATTGAGTAAATAATTAAAAGTATCGATATGGTGGACTATTATTCGTATTCCCCCTCTTCTTCTAGAACTCGGTTCAATCTAGAGACGCAAATATTATTATTTTTTATTTTTATTTCACGTCACTACTAATAATTTTATTACCATTTTATTGCACCTCTGTTTTAATTAATTAATTTTATGAGTTTAATCTCTTAATATGATTTCATAATCCATGGGGAAAAAATATTTTTAGGTGTACACATTTCAATGCTATTCTAATTTTTTTGTTGATATAATAAAACCCTCACCAACAAATTAGCAAAGCACAAAACCTAAAACATTTAAAAGGGGATAAATATGTAGAAAAGATGCAGACAAATTTTGGAATAATAATCTGAAAATGGATTCACTTTATGGGATCAATTCAAATAATGATGGCGTGTTATATCAGTTTGGTCATCGAACTTTTCTCATGTGTCATAATGGACACTAATTATGTTCTTGAAATTGTTCTATAAACTTGCTTAAAAGTTCATTTTAGTTATTTCATTACTTTGGGTTTGAAAACATCCTATCTCACAAAATCTTTGTTACGGTGATATAAGAGTTTGTCGGCGTTCTCTTCACCCCATGTTAGAGATTTCATTGATGCAGGATAGATATTGAATTGATTTTTACGTAACAAACTAAAAATCGAACATAATTTCCTTCCTTTTATATGACTTCAAAATATACTACCTTACAATCCAAGTTACAAAGATTTACAAAATTTCCAACATGTACACATCAAATTGACGAATATCGTTAGAAACTATGTAATGTTTTAATTACATTAGTGACGGGTTGTTCTTAAGCGCTTATTCTATCTCTTTATTTATGAGAACATATATCTACACTATTGTTTATCCTCCCACATTACCATAACAATACTTGTTCTCCAATGTGAAATCTTTAAAAGTGAATTCTCCCTCCAAATCATTTTGAAGCTAAATCTAGTGTCCAATATCACACATGTTATCAAAGTTAGATGACCAAATTGATAGTACTAGGGACGAGCATTTTCTTCTTGTGAAAGTACTAGGCCCATTTTCACATTTCTGGTTTTGCATATTCTGTGGTCTTCTTACGCACCAACACTTTAAACATAGAAGAGAGAGAGAGAGAGAGAGAGAGAGAGAGAGAGCTGAGTCACTCTCAGAGCTTCCCTCTTCCTTCTTCCTCTCTATATTACAAGGCAAAAGCCCATTCCCTTAAACCTCTTTCTCCTTCTCCCCCATTGCAAAAGTCTCATCTTTTTTCCTCCCCCTTTCTCGTGGGTCTATACAGAGCCAAACCCAGAAGCTAGAATTGAATCAGCAAACCGAATAAGTTGGAAAAAGGAAGAAGAAACTCTCTGCATATCTGGAAGAACTAATAAGTATGATTTTCTTTATTATTCCTTCTGCTATGCAGTCTCTATTTATCTACTTATTTTACTTATGCTTCTCTGTACAAAGCTTGAACTTATGCATGCATGATTCTCGTGCTTCCATTGCTCTAATTAGCATTTGTTATGTAGTTTATTAAATGATTTGGGGAGGAAGTTGCTGGCTTTTCCTTGTTCTTTAAGGAGAATTTAATACTGTGATGCAAGTTCCCCCCTTTCTTTGTCTTTCACCTGTTGGGATCTTACTACTACCATTCTCATTTTTATTGTCAGTTAGTTGTTTGTGGAAATGGCAAGCTGAGATGAGATCTTTACAAAGAGGATATCCCTCTGTCCTTCGTCGGCTGATGCAGTAGCCAAACATGGTGTTCCAACATTTCCCACCCTTCTTTAAACGGTTTCAGTGAAATTGGGTTTTGTTGGAACCGTGCAGAATTTCAATAAATTAATCCATAATTCTGTATTCCTCTTTCTGGGTCGGCAAAAGAACAAAAATCTACATGCATCACTGCTACTTTTTTGTCCTTTGCAAAATTTCTGATGAAATCTGGATTTTTCCTTTCTGTTTGTATCTGTTATTTGATTAGCAATGATTGATTCCCTGCAATGATGGTGTATTTTTTCACCTTTTTACTTGATCATGATTACAGTTGGTTGTTCAACTTGGCTTAGAGTTAAAGTGAATGCACAGATCAAACTTGTGATGATTTCTGATGTGGAAGAAAATTTCCTGTTTCTTATTTTGTGCAGAGGGTTTTGGTTTGGATGTTGAGAATCCTTGAGATCGAGAACTTGTGGGCAGCTTGAAGAAACGATGCCAAACCAGCTATGGTTTGCACTGCTAATGATTTGTCAGAATGGAAGGACTTCCCAAAGGGTCTTAAGGTCCTTCTTCTTGATGAAGACATCAATTCAGCTGATGAGATAAGATCAAAGCTGGAGGCAATGGACTATGCTGGTTAGAAAAAGATCCCTTTGATTGCCTTTCTTTGGGCCATATACCCATTTTGCAGATCAGATTCCAATATTCCTCCAAGTAGTAACTCTTGGTGTTGAATTTACCTTACCTAACTTTGGTTGCCATATTTGATCCCTATGGTTCTCTTTTTCTTTCCAAAAAGAGGATCCCCAAGTGCTCCGTTAGATGGAATTCATTGATTCCTTCCTACTATTGTGATTTCCTAATGTTAGATGCTTAAATGTAGGGGAACAATAGCTTCTATTAATTCCATGCAATCCATCTTAAAGGAACAATCCTCTTTGGTATCTCTTGTACTAATCTTTTGATCTTTTTCCCCGGAAGAACCTCTTTTTTCTGGCTTGGCCTGCTTTGACATTCCCCTCTTTTACTTTTATTACTCTTATTGGCTTTTTAACCTCACTCTTTTTTTTTTATTCTCTTCTTTTCTTCTTTAAGTGGCTAACTTTTTATCTTGCTGTTCATTCAGTTGCTACTTTCTGCAATGAAGAGGAAGCCTTATCAGCATTCTCGGGCAAACCTGAAAGCTTCCATGTTGCTATTGTTGAGGTAATATACTTGGTCTATGTTCATTCTGTGCTTTGAGAACACTGATAGTAATTCAAATTCTTTTGACTTGAATTAGTTTGATTGCATAGTGACCAGAATGGACTTTCTTAGTTGCTTCATTCATCCCAAGTTACACAATAGTTTAATGAGGAAACCACTTCTCTTTTTTTTGGTGCAATGGCTTAAATTCTGATACTTATTGTTGGAGTCATGAACACAGGTGACTGTAGGCAATGGCAATGGGAGTTTTAAGTTCCTCGAAAGTGCTAAGGATTTGCCTATTGTTAGTAAGTTTCACCATCTCCTTATGACTTCCTTTCTTCAGTAACAAAAAATTAATGATTTTCAGTTACTAACACATGCATGTTCACCATTTCAGTGACTTCTAATATCGATTGCCTCAGCACGATGATGAAATGCATTGCGGTAAGATTCACATCTTATTGTTTTTTCTCTTGTATATCAATATATGATGTATTCGTTAGTTCCCTTGTGGTTTAAGTTACTGAAACAAATACTTCTCCATTGTAACATATGCTAATTTTTCAACCTATTCTCAGCTAGGTGCAATGGAGTTCCTCCATAAACCACTCTCTGAAGACAAATTACGGAACATATGGCAGCATGTTGTTCATAAGGTACATTATGGTTTAGCCTAATCATGGGCATGGTTTTGCTCTCTAGTGGTAAAAGTCTTCCCGAGGTCTTTTAAGTCTTTCTGATTAGACCTGAGCAGGCCTTTAATGCAGGGACAGCAACCATCCAATCCGAATCAGTGAAGTCCGTGGAAGATTCAGTGGCTTCCAAGTTGCAGCTCAAAGTAGAGATTGAGGAGGCGGATAATGGGAAATCTGATAATGATGCAGAAAATGAGAATAATGTGCCCCCCACTGATGACAACAACAGTGGTAGTGATAAGTACCCGGCTCCTTCTACTCCTCAGCTGAAACAAGGCGGACGGTTGTTGGATGATGGAGATTGTCAAGACCATACTAATTGCTCAACAGAGAAAGAAACTGCTGAGCAAGAGGGGGAGTCTAAATTCGTCGAAACGTCATTTGCAATGGCTGAAGTGAGTATTCAGGTGGATACTGAGAACATAAGCGATGGAAAAATCAAAGAAGAGGATGATTTGTCCAGTGTTACCAGGGCCGAGAATCCCACGAGTCATGCTCAAAATAGCATTGATAACGAAAAGTCTGATGGAGGTGTTGGAGACAGATCCCAAGCATCTAGTCTTAGAACTTCGGGAGTAACTAAAGCTAGCCGGAAGAAAATGAAGGTAAACTCGCATAGTTCACTAATTAACTACCTATTTGAAATTTGGGGGATGCATTCAAGTCAGAGTCGTTGAATTTCGTTGTTTGATTGATAACATGAATGTAGGTTACCACATGCTATATGAATGTGGTACAATTCTTTGTTTACTAGTTGAAATTCGTTGTTTTACTTTTCCTCATATCTCATCACCCACTCAGCCAATAGATAAGCGTCCATTTTCATCTACTCTCTTTAGAGAAAATTTCGCACACAGTGCACATTCATCATTTTTAACTCTTGTTGAGAATAGAGATTACAAATGGACCTCAGGTGTCCTAGAATAACTATCAGGCCAGTTTAGGTGGTTCATCTCTCTTTGTTGCTGACTGTATACATGTTTTCGTGGGTTTCAGGTAGATTGGACGGCTGACCTGCACAAAAAGTTTGTGCAGGCTGTGGAGCAACTAGGTGTAGATCAAGCCATCCCGTCAAAAATCCTTGAGCTGATGAAAGTTGAGGGCTTGACTCGGCATAACGTGGCAAGCCATCTTCAGGTCAGCTGTCTGTCTGTCTTTTTTTTTTTTTTGTGTGTGTGTGTAGGTAGAATGAGTTTAATACGAACATGTTTGTTAAAACAACATAGTTCAAGCAGCTGGGAAACCATGATTTGCTGCATTATCCAGAACTTGCTTACTAAGCATGAGTGAGATCTAACTGCGGGTTCTCTTTTTCTCTTGAGCAGAAATATCGAATGCATAAGCGACACAGTCTACCGAAATCAGATGACCGGAGGTGGCCGCAACAACAGAAAGATCAAACGAAAAGGAGTTGCTACCCCACCCATAAACCCATCATGGCTTACCCTCCTCCTTATCAGCAACACTCTAATCATCCTTTTCCACCAAACTCCTCTGTCTACCCCATGTGGGGAGCAACAGCAGCTGCTGCTGCTGCTAATCACCTACCTGGAGTCCAGATGTGGGGTACTCCTGGCTATTCACCATGGGCAGCATCAGCTGCAGAAAGTTGGCATTGGAAACCTTACCCAGCGGTAAAAACAAAGAGAACCTCCACTTGCTCCTTTTTTCTTGTGGCTGGTCCCCATCTTTTACAGTGATCTCATGTACCATTTATAGTTAAGTTCAGAACTGCAGCAAGTTTTGATTTCGGGTTATATGTTGTTTTCAGATTCATGCAGAGGCATGGGGTTGCCCTGTGATGCCACAGCCACCACCACAATTGCTTTATAATTGCTTGCCTCAAGTGAGTACATTATGGAAGTTCTTCGCTGCACAAGAATATTGCAGAATACATGTTATATCCGTAGTAGATTTTACTTTGTTGCAGTACTGAGCTCTGACGATTGGATTATGCAGAATCAACCAAGTTTTTATGGTGCCACCAGCATTGCTGATAACCATCACTGCAGTATGCTACAAAATGCTTTTGACCTACAGCCGGTAACTACTCTTTTCCGAGTACTTTAGTCTCTCCTGTTCCTTCAAATCAAGTGGATTATACAATGTTCCATGCATATTCAGTCTCTTTTGAAGTATCTTGGAATTGTGAAACATCTGTAGTTGAACAAAAACCTTGCCTATCCATGCTAGGAAGTTGCACCATTACCCTCTTGGAATTTTTTTTTTTTTTTTTTTTTGTTCAACAGGGACTTTCTATCTCAAATTTAACAAAATTATACAGAATATTTCGTCACTTCTGGTAAAATTGCACTTCTGCAAATTAATGAAACGGCAGGATGAGTCACACCCGCATACCCTTTGGCCCACTGACAACGAAAGCTCTCATCTTTGAATTCCACATGGAGTTTCCTAAGCAGGAAAAAGGCCATATGTACTCTTTGTATTGCAAAATTGGAACAGGATGTGCCTATTAAGTTTTGTACTTTTGTTTCATGTGTTGTGTTGCAGGCAGAAGAAGTGATAGACAAAGTAGTGAGAGAAGCCATCAGCAAGCCATGGCTGCCACTGCCCTTGGGGCTAAAACCTCCTTCCACTGATAGTGTTCTAGCTGAACTCTGTAGACAAGGCATCTCAGCAATCCCTCCTCACAGCATCAATAATGGCTCCAATTATTCATCTTGATCACAAGGGCCCCACATTGCTAATAAAGATCATGATGGTCATTAGCAAATTTGAGGCAGGATTTTGTCCCCAACAAATAATTCTTAGCAGAGGATTACCCAGAAGCTCCATTATTTCTTGACACAGTTGTGCAAAAAAGAGAGGACCCTTGACCTTCAGTTAGGTGAGTTTGTTGGTTGGTGGCATCTGCATGATAGTGATGATGGTGAAGATGAGGGGGAAGTTCATCTTATCACTGTTTTTTTTGTGAGAGACAGAAGGAGGTGACCATCAATCAAAACGCTCACATGAAGACACAAATCTGGAAAAGTTTCTGTCTTTGCTGTTCCCATCCCAAAATTTCTTTGAGTGGGGTGGAGAGAAAAAAAATAATAATAATAAAAGAGCCCAAGAGTAGTGAAAAGGGTCAAGAGGTTTGTAAGATGGCCACGTTTATGCATTGTGAACCACTCTTTGAGATGAGTGGTTGTAAATAGAAGAATTGGAAGGAGGAAAACAACTTCTTGTAGTTTGGTTGTTCTTTTGTCCTGAATCTTGATGATGATCATGTTCTTCTTGACGTTTGTCTCAACTCTACTTTGGGTTCATCACATCCCACTTTCTTTTGCTTGTTTTTCAAAAGTCCAATCAAGAAAAGATTAGATACTTATCTCCTTAACATGGGGTTTACTCTGCTATAGTTTACATGCTCAAATTTCAAACTCAGATTTAGAACTTCGCAATAATGACATCCCAAAAAAGTCTCTTGGAGCCAAAGATAGCCAAAGATAGCATAGCCTAGTGGTGAAATCACTGGACCAATTGAGCTCTGGATGTGGGAGGTCCTGAGTTCGATTTCCAGTGGCGCCACTTGTACGTTCCCGACGGCATCCTTGGTATCGGAGGCGAAGCCTCCCCAATATTGATAGCAGAAAGCCCTGATTAGTATACTCGTGTCTCCAGTGGTTACGTGAGGCTGAGGTTCCTTGCAAGGGAAACAGCAGAATCTCGGAAAGGGATGCAACTGACATGGTTGCCTATTTGCCTAGTAGTTGCCACCTCCACATCTCTGAACTTATTATGCTGCCTGCGTACTGTTGAGAGTGTGATGGTCACTATCTTGTTTTGTGAATTACACGATGCTCTGTTTTTTTCTCTCAGTTTTTCTGATTGTGGGATCAGTTTCATAGCGGTGGCATTTTGCTGTTGACATAGTGATATTGTGAAGCGTAGTAGAGAGTAGTCCCCAGTAGCATTAAATTGGGACGACGTATGAAACTGGGCGTCATCCTTTTTGTAAACCATTGAACAGAATTGGATGGGATCCTTTGCTGTTCATGATGTGGACTTTATGAGTTGAAATGGATAATGTGGTACTATTTGACTCTTATTTTCTGAAATTTCTATTATGGCGTAAACTATAAACCATCTATATTATTTAGGGCGAACACGATGGTTGATCGTTAAGTTGGACATTTAACATCGTTGACTAACGGACAACGCTCTATGTCTGTGTTATATCAGCACAAACAAATAAAAAAAATTACTTAATTTCAATCATTTTTTTTTCTAATTTTGTTTATTTACTTATTAAACAGTAAAATGAAAATAAAAAATGTGCCTCCCCTCATTTACGGTTTAATAAGAAAATAAATGAAATTAGAAAAAAATTAATGGATTGAAATTGTTATTTTTTATTTTGTTTGTGTATACATCACACTGACCTAGCGTGTTAACCGTGAGTCAACGGTGTTGACCGTCCAACTTGACGGTTAACCAACACGTCCTGCCAAAATAGTATACATGGTGCATAGTTCAGAAAATACAAGCAAAAGTAATATATTTGTAGAAAGTCTGGGTCGGACTAAGGTATTAACACTAGTTTCTTCTGCATAATATACTAAATATCAATAACTTTGATCTTTAGTGTTAGTGAACCCCAAGAGCCAAGATGCAATCATACAAGTTTTCAATACATTAATTGTTCATTGGATAATGTTTTCAAAACTCGACCAGATGCTGAACCGAAAGTGGTTGATGATTCAATGGTTAACTGTTATAGAACCAATGGTTAACAGTTGACAGAACCATTCATGCGTTAAAACAGAAAGACATATATAATACACTAATTTAGCAGTTAAATTATCATTAATGATAAAAAAATCAAATCCATATCATATATCCCCAAAAAAGTTATACCAAAGTTCTCACAAAAACAATCAATTGTTTATACTAAATTTAAGTTAGTAATCAGGGTGACAATATGTAGTCGACCACATAAAGTTGTCAAGTAGACTGGGAGATGAAGAAAATGAAGCATAAAGAAAATTATTGATTTGAGGTTGTAAGATCTTAGTTTATGTTTAAAAAAAAATCCCTTAATTTTTTGTTGTTAAAATTGTGAACCAGTGAACCAATCAAACCAGAATGATTCATCTGGTTTCATGTCAAACCGTTAAAAACCATTGGATCCATCCCTAATTGTCCAATCAAATGAAGAACCGAATTGCTATAGTAATTACTAATTGGTTTAATGGTTCTACTAACCCAGTTGTTGATCTAGTTCCGTTCTCGTAACAATAAGAGATATAATATGATACAATTTCATAGATCGTGCTCTACAAACCCCCTATGAGTTTCGATACTTATTAATTTCAATCTCCTAATGAAAATGGTACTTTGGTGCATTTACAATTAGTTAGGACTTTTATCAACAACAATTCATGCTTAGGAAAATCCATCATCTTCCAACTTGTTGAAATCTTGTGAGATGACTTTTGTTGGAGTTGGTTCTATTTTTTCTTTGATATTTTTCCAATTTAGTCCATAATCCATATTACTTGCGTTTCCTATCTTTCATATTGTCATTTGTCAAATTGAAAGTTACAATTTAGTGTGTGACGTTCTACATAGCCTGCTAGTGGTAGTACTTATCCATGGGGCTTAGAATGTCAAGCAATTTGATTTAGAATTCGTCTTTCATTATGGCCTTATTATCTAGTCTATGCTACAAGATTGAAACAAGTTTCCCATTGATAATCTTTAGTAATAATCCACACATTTAGCAAGTCTAACATCTATGATGTAAAGTTTTGTGATTGATCCCTTTGTTTTTCAAGTATGTGGTAAATAAATCAACTTTACTATGGAATTCATTTTGCGATCACATGTCTTTTTCTTCAAAAAATCATTTGATACAAACACATTAATCATTATTATCGACGATAAATCTTGTAAAGAAATAATTGTTCTAATATCCGCTTAAATGGAAAGAGGGTAGGGTCTAAGTTAAGCTTGCCCTTATTACGCATTGCAGACCAATTCTACATCCTTAAATCTGAATTTTCTAAATGAAGGGTCCAAATTTGGTTATTGATGAGTGCATAACCCATAGTTATGCAACGGGATGGGATTAGGTGCTAATTCTTATAGGAGTTAGCACCGTGATAACTAGCAAAAAACGCTACTAAAAATAACGAAATCTCTACGGATTATTATAAAATCAATACAACATCTAAGCTTAATCACTACTAATTCAAACTAGTAGTAGTTTTTCTCTTGATTAGAACGGTGCTAACTATTGTACAATTAGCACCGTAACCGCTCCCTTATGCAACCCATGGTTATGCACCCTATCTTAGCCCTTATTACGCATTGCAGACCAATTCATCTAGAAGAATTTTAGTCAATCAAGACAATAATTAATAGTGGAATTTTGTTATCTTTTCACCATTAAAAAAAATACTACTCTCCTCTTAAATTTCGCAAGGGGTAATATCGTCTTCTTAATTCATTAATTTACCGACTTCCCGCCCGCATCACTGCGGCCAGCCGTCAGGTGCATACTCGCCACTCGGCCTGCTCATTAAGCCTCATCGTAGGCCCATAAACAAAGCCCATCAAGCATGGCTGGATAAACTGGTGTAGCCAACCGTTAGGGGGCTCCGTCCTTCATCAATTACCCTTCAAAGAAGCCCACCACTAAAGCCCACCAAGCTTGAAATGACTGATTGGTTCTGGCCCAATTTTATGCAGCGCCAAACACTAACATCGATCCAACAAAATTAGGGTGAAATTTCCGGCAAACCTCTAATGTGATAATCTGAATAACAAAATTATGGACTCACATCCAACAAAACTCGAAACCACCGGTACCCACCCGATCCAATCCGGTCAACGCGGGTAAAATCCATGTTGATGGGTTTTGGGCCGGGTTCGGATTTAAACCCGGTACATTATTTATCAGGTTGGGTTGGGTTTGAGTTTAGATAAACCCACCCCATGAGTACCCGCCCACACACATATAATTAATTTTTCCGGATTATTTAATATTCTAAACAATAAATCTTCCTTAAATAACTAATCTTCTTTATGTTTGTGGAGAGATGTCTAATTTGTTCTTTCTAATTGTGTACAATGAAGTTGATATTATGGAGTGTAGAGTGAAGAAGTTTAGTTGACGAGAAATGAGCTTTCAATTAATCATGTTGTTTATAGATGTTTATCTTTAATTTTGAACAATTTGTATTGATAATTTGCGACTTGCTTGTATGCTCTAGATTAATGTTTTTTATGGATAATTTTTATGAGAAAATTGATGTTAGACTTTTATTTTGGAAACTTGTTATTGTAAATTTTTTATCACAAAAATCCACGGGTACCCATGAACCCGCGGATACCCAGCGGATTGTGTTGGATTTGAGTTTTTCAAACCCAGCGGATTTTACCCCGGATTTTTTTTACGGATAAACTCATGGTTTGGGTTTGGCAAAACCTGACCCAACCCGACCCATTGACATTGCTACTCACATCTGAATATGATCTCAAAAGCTGTGATAATCCACCTGCTATTCCCCTGGGCTCAAACCACGGAAAAGTATTTTGCCAAAAAGGTTTGGGTTAATATATTTGTATGAATTGAACTTTGCACAAAATAAATATTTTGTCCAATCTTTTCGATCTATAACATCCTCGCCGAAACTATACATAAAAACAATGAAATTGGTCAAACCTGATGTTTGACCGTTATCTTGGACGGTCAAACGTGTTGACTAATGGTCAACGTGCCATGTCACTGCCAAGTGAGCAACTTTCACTTAATTTTTTGGGCTAATACCACTACAACACCCGAACTATTCCGAAAATGCCACTTGTGTCCTATTGTTTTCAATATTCCATCTGTGTCCTGAACTATGATTCTTTGTGTCATTTGTATCCTGTCGGTTATGTTGACTGTCAAGTATTAACGGTTGACCAGACGGCCTTTAAAACGACGTCGTATTGCTGCCAACGTGTCTTACCCGTGGCGGACACGTTGATGCCACGTCAAATGGGAGAATTAATTTTTTTTTTGATTTTTACAAATGGGAATTAAAGTTTTTTACCCAGCCTATATTTCTACCCTCTTCCCATCCATCGACCTAATTTCCGATTCTTTCTACCCTTTCTTCTCCTCTACCCAGCAACTTCTCCTCTACCCAGCCAAAGTGCCGAACTTGGTTTGCTCGAGTGTGGCTTTCGAAGACGACGACGACGACGATAGGATTTCAAAGGCGCATATGGAGAAGTAGCGAGGGCGGGGCTTGCGTTGCGTCAGCGCGGAGTGGGTGTCGGGGTAGTGGCGGTGACGAAAAACGAGCAGCTGCGGTTTGTATTTGTGTTGGGGCGAGGTGATTCGACTGTGAAGACCCTAATTGCAATGTCAATCCGCCAGAAAAGAGCCTTACCATCTATCAGGTACATTAATAGTTGATTTTGGTAATTTAGGGTTTCTTTGAATTGGGTATTTAGTGTCCTGTTTTCGTGGCAGTAATTCAAAAATGACCAGAAGAGGGTCGCAAACCATTTCGTCGAATTCATCAAACTCACGTACAGTTAAATGCCGGCATAATATACCAGCTTTTCTGAATGTTTCTCGAACAGAACTGAATCCGGGGAGGCAGTTCTATTGCTGCCCTCATTGGCAGGTAAATCAAGTAGTGGTTTGTTATTAATTGTTATTTAGATGGGCAATGATCTCACATGGGTTGCTTTCTACATGGCAGGATGAGGAAGAAAGTTGTCGTTTGTTCATTTGGGCTGATACTTTGAACGAAGACAGTGAAGGTGCTTGCTCCAATGGGGTTGTTGGAGGGAATGAACATATCAGGTCGAACGTTGGTTTGGTAGACAATCAGATGGAAAGATTGAAAGAGAGTTTAAGGGTTGCTGAAGAAAAAGCAGTGCGAAGAAAGAAGGCCTTAAAATTGCTGTATGGTGATTTAGCTAGCATTAGAGAAGAGAATGTTAGGCTGATTGGGGATTTAAGGTTGGACAATACTCATCTGTTGTGTGTTTTGGTCTTTTTATCAGCCTTAGTTATAGGGTTAGCTATTGTAGGTTTGAATTCCTCCAGCATGTTCTAATCTGTTATTGTTGTAGCAGTTATCCTGTTAAGGTGGATCTTATCAGTTGTGCGAACCTTGAATATGTTACTTATCTAATGGCTATACCAGTTTGTGTGTAATACTTATGTAACCAAAATGCAGACAACATCAATTCACAAAACAGCTGCTTTCACATTCACAAAAACATATCATTACCAAGGTACCTGAAATGTCATCCCTTAAGGTACCTAAAATGTCGATCCAATGTTTAGGAAATATACACCATTTCCATGGATCTACGGTAACCTACCACAAAAGGTGGATCCAACTTCAATTTCACATCTTAAAACGAATACCACAGATATGCTAGAGGTAGGCTACTATACAAAAACACATTCTAGTGCAATCTAAACTACTGCCGAGGTTGTGAAGGTTGCGTGGCAGGTGGTTGAGATCCACCTTGATCTATCTCAGTAGGAGCTGCATTCTGAAGGATACTTCCACTTCTTAGCGTCCTGCCATGTCCATTGGGGCCATTGAGTATAACATATGTATTACCCAAATCAGTATGCAGAACTCCAATCCCTTGGTTAGCCTGCACATTCGTGTATGAAGCACCCATATTA